TTGTTAAATGAATAGTGAAGTTTTATTGGTCTGTTTCTCTGAAATGTACGTGCAGCTTGTAAGTGGTGAGTGTAAGTTGTAAGTAGGCACAGTATTGTTTTTTCCCAAAACTAATTTAGACACTAATCTAGATTTGAAGTTTTCGTGACTGCAGGGATTCATTCTCTTTGGTTCAGCAATTGTTTCTTGCTGTGGTTGTCCCACCTGATGACAGACGCTTGTGTTGCGCCCGAAACGTCGTGATTTAATTTATCTTATTTTATACCTACGTGACTTTACCGAAAGAACCAAAGAGTAATTTAGACACTTTCAGCAGCATACCGTCATTCCAAACTGTGACGTATGCCGCAGGCATGTCAACAGGTCCAGAGCTCTCATTCGCTCCCCACATTTCTCAACCCTACGGGACCTTAGACCACCACATTTCCCGCATCTACCATTGCCTACACTGAGCTGTTGCTGAGACCCTCATCCATGTCTTCATCACACCCCAACAAGATTATTGCAACTCGCTCTGCTAGATGGCCTCCCCAAATGCCTCTTCTGAAAACTCCAGATTATCCAAATAGCTCTCGGCAGACTTCCCAACAGCACCCATAAAATGATACCACATTACCCCAATGCTCCGATCTCTTCAGTGGCTGCTGATCCAATCATCTTATCCATTTCAAGGTCGCCTTCACCATCCTGAAGATTCTCCACTGATTCGCCCTGTCCTGCCTCTCTTGTCATCTCACTGTACTCCCCCGTACACACTCTCCGCACTCGCAACCAACGCTTGCTGTTGAAGGCACCAGTCAACCATCAGCGGGAGATCGAGTTTGGCTCCCTCCATCGTCTGGAGCTCTCTTCCCCCAGCCTCCCTTGCTGTCGACGCCCTACCTTTGTTCAGGACCTTCCTCTCTTACTCTGACTTTCTGTCTTTAGCTTTGTACAATGAATAAATATATCGGTTCCCTAGGATGGCTGTACCCTACCCATTATAAGCAGCATCTTGAGATCCAGTTGGATTCCAATGCCTTTAAATAATAAATGTATTTAACCGAAACACAGTTTCAGTTTTTTCAGTTTCATTTATTTGGTACTAGCGGTAAGTACCTGGCGTTGCCCGGGCGAAAAAGGTAGACACACAAATGCACTCGCACATACATACATAGACTGAACAACAACAACCGCCATTCGCCACTAAGTGGTGGTGACGTCACCACAACGCTTGTGCCAGGCTATGTGCACCTTGAGGCCACGTGAAGTGTCGGACACCCGCTGGCCGGAGGTCACGGGGCAAACCCAGATGGCACAGGTCGACTGACTGAGACAACTGGCTGATGCACCACCTGTGCCCTCTACTGTGGCAACTTGCTGTGCTTTAGCCACCCGTCGCTCCGCTCGTTATTGTGAGCGTCGCTCCTCCACCCTCCGTTGTTGTTGGAGGGCGACTGCCTCCTTCAGGAGCCTCCTCCACAGAGGCCGATCTTGACACGGCTGGTACCAGTAATCGGCAAGTCCACTCAGCTCCACGTCCTCCTGTACCACATCATTCCATCTCTTCTCCAGCCCGTGCCATGGCCGTTTAGCCCCCTTGATTCGGCTGAACAAAAGCTGTTTAGGCATCCGGTGGCTGGGCATGCGGGCTACATAACTCAGGCAACGCAGCCTTGCCTGCCGGAGGAGCTCGGCGATGGGACTTTGTGCAAATCTTTCAAGGATTTGTGAGCTCCTCACACAATGCAGCCTGGTTAAACCCAGGATGGATGGTAGGCAGGCCATCCTAAATGTTTCTAACCTGCAAAGATGTTCCATTAGGGGGGTCCAAGTTTCGCAAGCATAGAGAAGGGAGGGAATGACTGTGGCCGAGAAGACCTGAAGCTTCGTGCGGAGTGATAGACCAGGTAGCTTCCACACAGCGTTACGCAACCGATGAAAAGATAATGTGGCTCGACTGATTCAGAGTGAGACCTCTGCTGTTAAACTGGAGCCAGTCATGAGCACACTGCCCAGGTATGGGAAACTCTCCACTGTCTCCACAACTGGCCCATCACCGATTGGGAGTTGTGGGGGTGGAGTGTCCGATGGTACAAGAGACCCAGGAAAGTGCTTAGTTTTGGTGGGGCTGATGGTAAGGCCTCACCTCTTGGTGGCAAGATCCAGGTTCAGCAGCGGCACCTCGAACTCCTCCGAGTGAGCAGTAATTAGCAGATCATCGGCATACATAACGTGGTTGAGCAATAGGGAGCCATCCCTTGACCGCACCCGGCCATCGATCAGTCTCCCATTGTATCTGTACCAGATGGGAATTCTTCCGGTACAGCCATTGAAGGCTTCACGAAGTACGTGGTCCAAATATATATAAAATAATGTGGGAGCCAGAGGATATCCCTGTTGCACCCCAAGGTGTACAAGGAATGGCTCTGACTCATGGCCACGTAGTTTGACGCGGGGCCGCTCACCATCATGAAGGTTCTTAAGGAAGGTGAGCAGTGGGTGAGGGACTCGGAAAGCACAAAGAACAACCCAGAGGCCAGGCCTACTGATGGTATCATAGGCCTTGAGCAGGTCAATAAAGCACACGCATGGATTAAGACGCACACATGGACCTACAGACACGCAAAGAAATGGACTTACACTGACTAACACACACACACATGGACTGAGACACACACACATATGAACTGACACACACAAACACATCGACTTACACACACACACAGATGGACTGTCACACATAGACATCCACTTTAGATATACACACATGGAGTTACACACACATATATCGACGTACACAAATACAGCGACTCACACAGACATACGTGGACTCGCACACAGACATACTTGGACTCACACAAACATTGACGTAAACACACATGTACTTACACACACACATGGACTAAGACACACACACATGGACTAAGACACACACACATGGACTTACACACATACATAGACTGACACACACAGCCCTACACACACATACACATATGGACTGTGACACACAGACATCTACTTTAGATACACAGACATGGATGAACACACATATGGACTCACGCACATGCATTGAGTTACACACACACATCGAGTGACACACACATGTATAGACTTACACACACATGTGGACTAACACACACACATATAGACTGACACACACATACACATCGACGTACACGCACACATCGACTGACACACATAGACACACAAACGCACATTGACTTACATACTCAGATGGAGCCATGCACACACATCGACTAACACACACACATGGACTAACACACACACACAGCGACTGATACGTACGCAAATTGACTGACACGCACACTTGGACTGACATACACACATAAACACTTTGACGTACACACACACATGGGGCATTGTTCGTTCGAAAAAGACAGACACACACGTGGACTTAAAGACACGCATGGATCTACACGCACACACATATGGACTCAAAGACACACACATTGACTGACACACATCGACGGGCACAGCAATCCTCGATGATGGCACAGCTATCAGTATTGCAGTATAACGTATGAGTAAATAGTGTGACGTGAGCGATGGAAACAATAGAAATGCATTGAAGAAATAAGCAGAAATAAGTGTAAATAAAAGAGCAGCAGTACGCACAGGTAAGTTGAGAAGCAGGCTACAGTCGAGATGATAGACTTCCAGTACGCCGACTCAATGACATAAGCATTGCTACAGTCGACATGAATTGCTGGCAGTACACTGAGTAAGGTAAAGAAGCAGGCAACAGATTATAGACTACCATACACTCTTAATGGTGAAAAGGAAAATGAGCAGTGTAGATACCCCCACACCTCCCCCCCAGCATCCCCCGCCCGTGCAAGAATAATGCTATGTAAGCAGTAAAAAATTGCTATCTACGGAGTCTGTAGTATAAACTGGACGCATCGTGTTGGGGGGAGGGGGCAAAAAGGACATCACACTGTGAAGAAATATCCACAGCGTTATGTGTGTATGTATTGCCTGTTAAACGCGTAAAAGGAAATGTCCCCGTGAGCTGGAGCGAAGGCGCATCACTTGGCAGGGTCCCCCCCCACGCAATTGACGTCAGTTGGTACGGTCGATGTCGCTCAATAAGTAAATAATTAAGAATAGAAACGGCACAAATGTGTTCCTTAAACTACTTGAAAGTTTACGGATGGGAAAACGGAATAGCCTATTCCCACCGCGGGGCTTAGGGCGTGCTGCCTGGCAAATTTTTTTCTACGTATAGCCCACCGTTCGAGAGCCAAATCCCCCGCAAGCGTGAGGGGGTGAGGAGCCAGGGAGGAGAGATGGAGGGGGTGGGGGGGATATGAAGTGCAGGGATCACAACTTGCATGTTTGGTTTGTTATGTTTTGTATTTCTACACAACACAATATTTACCTACTTTGCAGTGAGACGTTATTTGCTGTCATATTTGCCAACTCAGTAGGTGACATGCTTAAGAATCAGGTTGGCCTGTATTTTTGTTTTTGGTTGGAGCTCACTGACAGCATCTTAAAAAGAGGTGGACTTCCCTTCCTGTCAAATGGGCTCTTAGGAGTAACATTCTTATCCATCGTTACACTTTGTTTACTTTATATATTGTCCCCGAGTCTTTACTTTTCTGGAATTTAAGATCTGGCAACACTGAAAATATTTGTTAAACATTACATGTGCATCTGCATAAAAAGCTGAATGTGTTTATATCCAGCAGGTTAAATGGTAGTGCAGTGGTTAATGTGCTTCCCTATGTACCAAGTCACCCGAGTTCGATTCCCACTCATGAACAATAATATTTGAACCAGTTTTTGACATCGCATAGGTCAACTCAGCCCTAAATGAGTACCTGGAGTGGTGTGTAAATATCAGCCCTGGGGAAGCGAAAGCAGCCGGGCATGGTGTTGGTCACCCATCCCCGCGTGTGCCTTGCCGGCCTCCATACAGCACTTGCCCCAACAATCTGCTAAGGGTACACGGGGGATCTTTGTCTCTGTCGTTTGTTTGTCGATCTACTCAGGACTGGTAAAGATGGCCAAGCCAAGGAGTACTACACACTGGACTCGATCCTGTTTCTGCTCAACCATGTGCATCTCTCGCATCCTGTGTACGTCCGGAGGGCAGCGGTGAGTGCGCATTAAGTTCAGTGCTACAGCACACAACCCAGTGCCTTGTTATGCCGCGGAACAAGTCTCGGTCATCCGTTCGGCGGGTCATCAGGATTTAGTGACTGCAATCTTTATACACGCCCAGCACAATATGGTAAAAATCGGTGGGTAATGCTACACGGAGGGAGAGTTTACAGTTATTATAGAGGAGTGGCATTTTTATATTTCAGGGAATAGAGTTTTATAATTTAAGAGTATTTGAGAAATTGTTGTCCAACTGACATTGAGGCTCTTAAGCTTCTACAGGTTAGAAATAGTCCATGAAGAGGTAAGAGTAGACCAAATGTATAAACATAATAATCCTTTTCTGAAGGAGGTAAAAACACACAACATCATCATGGTTTAACATGTAGACTTTCGCGACCAATATTATACATAATAAAGGTTTTTGGGTTAGATCGCGTTATTCATAAATGTGTCGTAACCCTCCACTACCCGACATGGCCAAACAGCAAAAAAGTGTCACGTTTACAAAAGATAGTTCACTACTTTAGCCCACCGGTGTGTTGAAGAGTGAATCAACATCATTTAAAATTTTGAGTACGACGTTTTGCTGAACTAAAAGAACACCAAAAAAATATTAAATTATCTCAAACACAACTGTCGGCAGTGGCAGAGCATGCTTGTCAACAAGGACACTCAATTGATTTTGATAACGTTGAAGTGTTGTGTAAAACTAATTATTACTGACCAAGACTAATGAGACGTGACACATTTTTTAGTGTTTGGCCGTGTCGGGTGGTGGAGGGTTACGACACATTTATCACTAACGCGCTCTAACCCAAAAACCTTTATTATGAATCATTATGGTTGGTTGTATTGCAAAGCGAGGAAAAAGGTACAGAGATGAAAGGATGCATGGTCAGTTTGGCGTTGAAGTAAATAAGAATAGTAAGAGAAGGTTTATGAAGAGTCTGCAGTCAGTAGAGACTTGAAGGTAATGAACATCTTTTTCAAAGAGGAGCCACCTAGCAAATGGACGTGGAGACACTGGAAATGAAACAGACTTGATTCGCAAGGAACCAACTGCGGTTGGTCAGGGTTTTGCGTTTTCACTAATCCCAACAATGTGAGCACAGATTGGCGATGGAAGTTGTACACTTCTGCATTGCCGAAAGAAAGAATACAGCTAATGATGTGCAAACACAAGTCAATTAATATCACACGTTTACTTCAGGAGGTACAGGAATTTCTAATGGTTCTCAGCAACGTAACATAATCGGTGTCTACCGATCATGCGTTGTTCTTCTCCATGTGCTCACAGGCAGAAATCATCCCCGTCGTTCGACGTCCCGACAGAAAAGACCTCTTGGCCTACCTCAATGGGGAGACAGGTACGTGTATCCCTGCCGAAACACCGTCCCCGTGGGCGCTGTTTTTTTCTGGGTGCTGCTCCGGTTTCCTCCCACATGTAAACACTTGTCAATTAGTCAATAACGACCTATATATGGAGGATTGCAGAGCTGGGATTGGGGAGGAATTTGGCACTGGTTAGCAGTGTCTTGATTGGTACTCGTTCACTACCTCCAATGCAGTTTGTTGATGTTTACGTTGTGTGTGTGTGTATTCTCACAGCCACTTCTACCAGCATTGACAAGAGTGCCCCTCTGGAGATAGGCCTCCAGCGACCCACGCAAGGTAACACGCGCAGACGCACCCTCGTGTGAGTCAGGACGCACACAGCGAGAACGCAGCAGCGCACTGCTCTACAGCAGCGGTTTCCCAGTCTGTAGACCGCGACGGACCCACTGGTGCTACGCAACTACGCGGGTAGTTTATCCACGGAACTGTAGTTACAGATGCTGTTTTTAGTCTCAAAGCACCAGTTTTCTTTGCGACATGGTGGTCTGCAAACTGCTTTTGAGGGTGGACAGTCGCCCCCGGAAAGGTTGGGAACCACTTCTCGTCAGCACCGAGGCCGTCATTGACTCTTCCTCTTATCCCACCTAGTAAAAAGAGCATCTGAAGATACGAGCTCTGAACCTAAGAAACCCCGGCTTGAGGTAAGGGAGCAGCGTGGGCATCGAGAACGTCACCGTATGTGCTGTGTGTCTGTCGTTTTGGCGTTCATTGATAGTTATCCGTTAGCGATGGAGCGATAGTCCCGTGAGTCACACTGTGTGTCCGTGGTTGTGCATGTCCACGTGTGCGTGTGTGTAAGGTGGAATCAACAACAAATATTAGCTCATGTGGATAAATACGCAGGCAATAGTGATCCAAGATGTTTGAAACATAACTTAAAAAAATTTTCATGAGAATATAAGAGTAGAAAATCAAGGTCAAACATGTCATTATGTCACTTCCATGCATTTTAAGGTCAGGGAAATGATGCCTGTAAAATGTTCTGCCGTTGTAACCATCATCCCAAAACTGCTATCGTAATTACAGTAATACCTGCGAGTGTCAAAGAGTGGTCCCCTAACTGGGCATGCTACTCCTGTAAGCTTTGAATGGATGATTTAATCTCAGGATAATTTAAATGAATTCGGGGGGGGGGGGTGGGAGGGGGAAAGACAAAGAAGAGAGAACTAAACACGTCAGCGGTTTTGTGCAGGATGCAGAGCGCGTACGCCTGGACAAGGAGCGTCTGGCTGCCCGCCTGGAAGGATACAAAGAGGTCATGGTCAACACCGAACAGATCCGGTAATCATTGGCATGGAACACCTGGTGAATGCAGCACATAGTCACACGGCCCACCATAATCCAGTGTTCTTTATTGCAAGGCCCGCGGGCCACTGTCGGCCCTTGGTGGCCTTTAGTGCGGCCCCTGACGTGCGACCCCCGACAATACACAAATAGTGAAAACGCCCCTTGCAGGTGGTGTAGCGCCCCTCACACTGGCGATGTCTTATCGGCAAAAGTGGCCCCCCTCTAAAAATGAGTGATGAAGACAACCATAATCGAACTGGCTACCTCTTGATTGCAAATCCAGTGTGTGAACCGTTACACCATCGCAGCACCCTTAATTTCTCAGTTACAAAGGTAAAAAAGTGATACTGCTCTTAGACATTTCTGCACGTGTGGCAAACCGGTAATCGTTGTTACTGGGGTTTTTTTTTGCCCCCTTGCAGTTCATGGTAACGCTAAAAAAATTTACCGAAACAATCCTGCTCATAATCCGGTGTTACAGAGTTGGGCTCTCTCAGTAATCGTGCGAACTCGTCGGCGCACGTCACCTCTCACAGCTCCCTCTCCGAAGCGATGTCCGTGGAGAAGATCGCGGCCATCAAGGCAAAAATCATGGCCAAGAAGCGCTCGACGATCAAGTCGGACCTGGAAGAGGACGTCGCCGGCCTGGAGCAGCGCAGCTTTGTGGACGCCGAGGTGGACGCGACGAGGGACATCGTGAGCCGGGAGAGGCTGTGGAGAACTCGCACCACCATCCTGCAGAGCTCCGGCAAGGTACCGTTTTGTCGTCCTTGAGAGAGCGCCCCTGTACGCCGGGGCGGCTAGGAGCGCTTTACACGGGATAAGCACCTTGCCTCGCACATCAGCTCAAACATTTGAAGGGGCTCACCCCCAGTGGCAGCTGTGCTTGAGTGGCAAAAGGTTACACGGTGCCAGTGGTCGCAGTTGTGGCATTTTCAGGTAATTTTTTTCTACTTCGTAAATTTGGACCCTGACATCGGCACACATTCGCCTAAATTTTTTAACGATGTCACAGGATCTTCAACATCCACTGTGAAGCAGACACATTCTGCAGTAATAGCCAGGGGAGCCTGCCCGATTGGAACCGCGAAACCTCTGCATAAATGGCGAACACGCTCCCGCTGGGCCCCGTCTCACCGTCCCTTGATGAGTGCATGCGTACAAGAAAACCAGTCTGCACGTCTTCCCGTCAATCACCTTCCCAGGAGCCATTCATTATTTATACTTTTCGATGTACACGTCATGTAATTTACGTGTAACCAGCTGATAACCCATTGTGACAAACATCTCGTCTGCTAGCGTCAGCTGAAGAACCGTGTAACACTATTCAAAGCGAAGTCGGTTCTTGCCAGAAAAAAATCTATAATGCTAATTTAATAATGCCTCCATCTGGCTTCTTTCAGAAGTACACAATTTAAATATAGTTATGTATTGTGTCTGAAAGTTATTTATTAGCTGCAGTAACAATTTGTCATCATTATTCAATTAAAGTAATATATTACAGTAATGCCACTGAAATTAGTATTCAAGTAAAGCACTGTTGGTGTGAGCATGGATTAAATGAAGCCATGATTGTGTGTGGTGAAGAAGGTTTGACAGTTAAGGATGTGTAAGTGATTAAATAACCCACGCGATTTGTGCTTGTGATCTCATGTAGCGAATGCTCATTGGGCAGCGTTTGGTGGGGATGGTTGCGTGTATGTGATTAGGATTTTGCCAAGAACATCTTCGCCATCCTGCAATCGGTGAAGGCACGGGAGGAAGGGAAAGCGCCTCAGGAACCACGGCCTGCCCAGCCTCTCAGCCAGCCAGTACGTAAAACATGAGAGTGTGTAGGCACAGTCGCTGAGCACAGGCCCAAAGTTTCAAAACGTTTAGCGGCCAGCAAAGAAACGGCAGGGTTAGCGCAGTGGTAACACTGGTGCCTACTCTTAGTTCTTTCGGTAAAGTAACGTAGGTAAAAAAAATGAAATTTAAATTAAACACTTGATGCAGCAAATCTGGCTGTGACTGTCCCACCTGATGACGGAGACTTGTGTTGCCTCCGAAACGTCGTGATTTTTATTGTTTTATTTTTATTAATTTTTATTTCATTTACCTACGTGACTTTACCGAAAGAACTACGAGTATGAATCCTTGCAGTCACGAAAGCTTCAAATCTAGAAACACTGGTGCCTCTCAGCAGGAAGAGCCCGGGTTCTTTTCCCAACTCAGGAGCATGTCTGTGTTGAGTTGGTGTGTTCTCTCCCTGTTCTGCATCATTGTCCGCTTTATTCCCATAGCAAAAAAAAACATACAATCGCCAAAAATCTCAATGCAGTACCCTTTTGAAAAATAGTCTGTGGACTCTGTGTGGCTTTGCTGGGTAAATAAGTAATTCAATAAATAAAACAAACAACATTACACGTTTTTTTTTTATTTATCAAGGTTATTTTGAGAGCTTAGGAAAGAGAGGGAGTTCCGAAGTTAAGCGTTGCGAGGAAAGAAGCAGGAAGAGACGTGTTGTCACCTGCACTGCTGTGGATTAACGCAGGAGCAGTGAGTCCTCAGCATTTAAGAATCAATGAGTGGCGTTCACAGGACCAGTAACTATGGCAGTAGCGATCAGAGTACAATTTTCTAATCCAAGCATAAAGGTCCCCTGTATAGCCTTCAATAAACTGTTGGGGCAAGTGCTGTTAGTGAGCACCGATTTAAGGCCGAAACTACGCCACCTTTGTCTCTGCAATGCTGATGTTTACACCCCACACCAGGTAGTACTCTTTTGAGGCTGAGTCAACCTCTTGGAGGCACAGGACCAGTTCAAATTGTTTGCCACTGTCATGGGTCGTGAGAGACAATAGAATCAGGGTCGCCGGGTTCGTAGCGCAGTGTGCTGACCGCTACGCTACTGCCCAACCATAGGCCAGCTTAAATGTAAGTGCACTTTTGTGCTTCAATACAGTTTTAAAACAGTGTAAGGGTTGTTTGGGTTGATGGAAAGAATGAGCTTAGATTGGCCAAAAAACATCAGTTTGGCTATTGTATGCCAACACACAAATGAAGTCGAGTTGATTGCATCGCGGATGTTATCACAAAGCGCATGTCATCTTTTATAACTAGACTGGAAATTAAATCCAGCTTTTCAATTCAGGTCCAAAACTGATCTATTATCGAATTTACTTTCGACTTCAGACTTGATTGAGACTAAAACTAGAGAATACCAAGCCTTGGGGGGATGGTGGCTCATGCCTGTGATTCAGCACTTTGGAGGCAAGGGTTTGAAGGGTCACACAGATTTGTGAAACCACCAGGAGATGACAGTACAGCAGGTGGGTTTGTGATCCCATCTATAAAGGGTCATTCACTGTTGATATCCTCCTGAACAATTTGGACATCGAGCCTGAGACTCGTGGATAATAGACCAATTGTTATAATAACCGAGTTCACACCCTATGCAGTCAGTTACTGCACATGGAAACGGCAGTGTGCTGTGTCTTAACGTATGTACAAGTGTGTTTTGGTAGCTGGTGGACTCTGCCACTGAACTTTCCCCTGCCTTCACAGCAACCCACGGTGAAGCAGTCCATCCCGGCTGCCTACAACCGCTACGATCAGGAGCGCTTCAAGGGGAAGGAGGGTACGTGCATCGCTCACGTAACACACCTCGCTTGTTTTCACCGCTAGTTCAGCAGTGCCCGATGTTACTATACGTCGCTGCTTAATATCTACTTCAAAGCGGACTACACATATGCCAATTTAAACACTGTTCGTCAGGAAATGTGTGTGAATTTTGACTTTTTTTATCAGGCCCCGTGGTCTAAAGTGAAGTCGCCAACTCTTATCCACTCAGTCTCTCGGGCTGTAAAGAAAGGCCATTCCCATAAACATCTGCTATTGTCTGTGGATATTTCTTCCTTTTAGGGTCACGGTGTTTTTGACAAATTTGCTGAGTTTTTGTTACTCGGTAAAGACATTTACATCATCGCATATGAAAGGGGGTGGAGTGATCAGCACCTTACCCAGCCACCTTTGTCTTTCCAGTGCTGATGCTTACGTACTCGACAGCTATTAATTGATAGGTTGAGTTGACCAACAGAATGTCTAGATCATGTGGAGATATATGCGGTAGCGAGATTTTAACTACCACGCCTGGTATGCAGGAGGTCGTTGGTTCGACGCTCTGACCCTCACACCTGCTGTATATTTGGAGTTTGCGTGTCTCTCTCTCCCCGTGGTCGTGTAGATTTTTCTGCGGGTCCTCCGGTTTTTCCCTCCGCATTTAGACACATAGATTTAGAGTATTTTGGCTGCTATAAATGTCAGTTTGATAAGCCACTTCGTTGAGCTATCATCTGTGGCCAGGTCGCTTTGGAAAATTATCTATACAGCTCAGTGGGCCTTACCTGGTAAAATAAAACTGATTTAAGAGAGTTTAATTCCTTATTGGGTTTTTTTTGTTCACTATATCTCAAATAAAACATCTTTTTACCTTAGTTAACTTGCCAGTGATGTGTACAATGGAGAATTGAACCCATGTGTGTGAAGGCAAACACGTTCGTTGCCTATTATGTTGGCTATTTGTCTACGTTTACTTTTGAAGCCAGTAATGTTTTCTAGTGTTATTTCTTTTTATTGTCTGGGTTTAACCGGGAAAGTATCGCTGAGTCTTGTGACTTTCAGGAGGGTTCTGGAGGCGGCGATGGTTGCTACGTATAATCCCAAATGAATAATTTGCGGTGTTATTTTTCACATTTGGGAAATTTTGACCGTGACGCCCGGCATGCGATGGCCTGCATTTACAAATGACATCACAGGATCTTTAACATCCGCTGATAAGCCAACAGTGCATAGTATATTTAGGGCTCATACAATAAACCCTTCATAATATTCGTGGGGAACACATTCCTGGAGCTTGGCTTGAATATTAAATCTGCGCATATCAATACTCAATCCTTACGAGGGAAATCCGGTGAGGGGACATTAACATATATTACGTTTAAACAAACATCTAAAATGTATGTATATATTAATGGATATGTGTAATATTTGTGTGTTATTTAACTTAAATAATGATTAACATAAAAGTGCAAATATCAATAAACATTATACCGAACGTAATTTCTAAATATCGTAAAGGGAAGCAGTGGCGTGTAAGTGGCGCGTCGGACAGAGGCAGGCTGGGAGGCAGAGCGGAGCCATGTGGGGGCGACTCTCTCGCCCTGTCACATTACCATCCACGCCACTCCCACGCATCGCCTCTTCTCATTGGGCAGCCGTGAATTACAAATAGCACCACTAATAAATTTGTCGCAGATACGTGGTTATAAATCCCGCAAATATTAAGGGATTTGCTGTTCATCCGCAGAATTAATCAGGGCGGCTGCCGGATTCAAAACTGAACCTTTGGAACAAGTGAGGGACGTGCTAGCGCTAGGCCACCGCCCCCGGTCGTTTGTATCGTGTGTAGCCACTCGGTTACTGCCGACCGTATTCTAAACCAGGCCCCATCCTCTCTGGCTGCGTACATTGTAGCAAGGATAATTGTGTGATAATAACCACTAATGAAAGTATGTGATGTGTGTATGTTGAACGTATTTCACACTGTACGCAGCCATCCGTGCTAATCGGAGGTGCGGGAAGCATAAGAGTTATGAGATTTAAATTCGAAGCCAAACAATCATCTTACATACAGATGTAGTGAGATGAGTGAAATAAGTTTGGGTTGAGGCAGATATCATGAGATAAGATGGGAGATATATACTGTAGGTAGAGATGAAATGAGATGTAGACTTGAGACATGTCCTGTGATAAAAAGAAAGCAATGCAGATGAGAAGGACAAGTAGGGTGTGAGATGTATAGACAAGACAGAGACGTGCTGAGATGAGAGAAGAGAATGGAAGTGAAGACCTATATCGTGATGGGAGACAGGTGGTCAAGTGACTTGCAGATTAATATTCGTCGACAGTAGACATGTCGTGAGATGGGAAGAGATATGCAGCCTAAACAACTTTCTGGTGACAAAAGGGGAGGGCTATGAAGATATGGTGAGATTTAAAACATTAATGTTAGTGGACGTAACGATTGAGTGAATTGTAAATGTATTCAGATGAGAGTGATGCATTCAGACGAGGAATTAAGAGAGATGAGGGAGCAGTGGCACATGGGTTACCACATTCAACTCTGAACCCCCCTGGTGAAGTGAGTTCGATTCCTGGCCACATTGCTTCTTGATAGTATTACTTCTCAGGAACTAATCATAACTGCTGTTGCTTTGTGTGCGTACAGAAACCGAGGGCTTCAAGATCGATACGATCTCCACATACCACGGCATGACCCTCAAATCTGTGACGGTATGTAATGCACACCCAGACTATACGCTAGACTACATAATAAACACATTGCATCCAACGTTCATAGATATTGCCTGCTAGGTTGCAAGAGAGAGCGAGAGTTATTATTGGAAGTGTGGTACAGTTTGCCTGAATTTACAAACATTCGGTTTTCAAAATTTCACGTTTGACGCAATTGGCGAATATTGGGACACTTTTCGATGAACGAAATCGAATTTCCGCGTTCTCGAAATGTCACTCCGCCACGCGCCACGAGTTCATAAAACAAGAGCCACCTGGGAGGCTGCGTCATCCAACCACGACAGCATCGGCCCCGTCCCCGCAGTGCAGCAGTCACACCTCCACATCACCTTGACAGTCATTGCAACATGCAGCAGATCCTATGGTGGGTTCCCTGAAAAGATTGACTATGTTATTTTTTTATTATTAAATAGTTTTAATATTTATGTCCCTTATCATTTTTGTAATGTGAAAAGTGATGTAGGTGTACATTTTTAGGTTAGGGGTAGAGTTGGAATGACATTTTTAGTAATACATTAATAGCAAAAGCCATTCCGATTTACGAAATATCGTTTTACATGTCTTTTTTGAAGAACACAATTGTTTTGTTCTGTGAGACATCCGTACACATAAATGTAATAATGGATTTAGAATCGTTTTAAAAACTTCAGCCAGACATTCCTGGATTCACAAACAATTCGCCATGCCGTGTCACTCTTGGGGGCTGTTTGACCGTACTTCACCACGGTGGCGGAGGCAACGAACAGGACCGGTTCAGATATCACTCGCCCCTAAGTTAGGCACGTTTGCGAATGCAACTCGGGTCTCCGGGTGTTCGTAGTGCGGCGTCCTAACCACTCGTACGGCCGCTGCACCCGTTCTCTTTTTGTATTTCGCAGGAAGGAGCTTCTGCCAGAAAAACGCAAGTTCCTGCCGCCCAGCCTGTGCCCCGACCCGGTGAGAGGCGGAAGAGTGTGCGAGCTTTCTCGAGCGAGCGAGTGTTTGTGTTTGCATCACTAAGTGAGAGTGCATCGGGGGAATGTGTTCACCGTCTGCTTTTCTCCTGTGTGCTCTTGGCATGGAGGGAGACCAAAAAGTGGTAGAACTTTAAGCCCCTATTTGAATGGTTTACCTGTGAAACACATTCATGCGGAGGGAGCTGGTAGGGACGTTGGGTTGCTCGGTCAATGGCCAGGGTCAACGGCGGCGTGGTGTATTCCGCAAATATGGCCGACTGTGAGGGCGGGCACAAGCCGGCGTGAGTAGGTTAAACGTTGAGTTTTATAAGGGCACCACGGGGTGACCAGCTCCTCCCCTCCCCACCCAGCCCCACCCCTCCCACCCTCCACCCAGCCCCACCCTCCCCACCCAGCCTCTCCCCACCCTCCCCTCTCCACCCAGCCCCACCCCTCCCATTTTTGTATGCACGACGGACGGACGGACACAATAATCCCCTGTGGGCTGGTGGAACCAGGTGGTTCCTACCAGTATAATTTGGCACCTCTACCCTGGCCTCAAATGCATTGACGAGTAGGAAAGTCATGCTTGGTCATGCCGCCCAAGGACTACACCAAATACGTGTGCGTGTGTGTGTGGTCGTGTGTAAAATCAGACTGTTGGGGCAAGTGCTGCTAGGGATCACTTCTGAAGGCTGGCACTTGCCCCAACAGTCTCGTCTTGTTATGTAACATCAAACGATAGCAGTCTGCCAGCTGAGTAAGATGGCTACCTTTACTGGCTTCCCCGCTCAATCAAAATACAGCAGACTCTCCATTATCCGCGCTAATGACGGGGAGGACAGCAGCGGATAATTCAAAATCGCGGATCATCCAAACATATAAATTTTCCGCGGATCTCTATGCCAAAAACTAGTATTATAGGTATAAATGATGTTCAAGTTAAGAAAATGGAGTTTGTTAATGAACGAATTCTAACGATCGACTGATCTACGCGTGTGCTCAGTGATAGCACTTTCCTGCTCCTGCGCAGCAGAAGACTGCGCCCACTAAGTGGACAGCAGCAGAGCCACGCCACTCAACATCAATCAACTACTGTACTGTAGGGGCGATTACGTGAATTTCTGATCAACCGGAGCAACATGTTTGTTCGGTTTAAGCACGTGTGACTTGTAATAAACATTTACAAGAATAACAATGTGTAACTGCTTTTACATTGTTAATATGGGCTTAAGGGAAAATCCATGCATTATTTATTCATGTCAAAATCTCAGGTGCGAGGTTAATCCGCAAATCGGATAAACCGCACGGGGTTAATCGGAAGTCTTCTGTACTTCTGTATTCAGTCTCCCAGGCGCGACCTCCACCCAATCAGAAGAAAGGGTCGAGAACGCCCATCATCATCATACCCGCAGCCACCACGGCGCTCATCACGATGCTCAACGCCAAGGATCTGCTGCAGGACCTCAAGTATTCAAGCACAAACCCAATCCTTTGATGACAGTACACGGCAATGAATTACACTTTGTTTGGAATGCCAAGCACGTGGCATGTAACAATTCATCCCTCTCTACCACCTGCCTTGCACGATTGAGTAAATTGTCACGAGTTTTGGGTTGCGATTTTTTTTCCAAGGGCAGAGAATTGTCTTGTTTCTTATAGTTATTTATATTGTCTTATTTGTACAGTCTTCTCTCGGTTACCCTTAATATAACATTAGCTTGTAATTATGATAGATCGTGAACGATCAGTTCTTATGCACATGATTCGACGCGTGTATCATGAGCGCAGCAATTTACATGCGGTCCCCGCTTTTACGTCGTCACGGTGCGTTTCTGGCAACCTCGTCGTGAATCTGACCCCTATTTTCCCATGGACATTAGAAATGCGATAAACATCACTTGCCGATGTGTTTTTTTCCATTTGTCAGCTGTATCTAACGGGGTTTAATAGGTAAACATCCACACAAACACACTGGAGAATAGCAAAAGCTCCACGCCAAGTCACATCGGAAACCAGACCGACTGTTCAAATGCGTTCAGAGTCGTGACGGGAGATGCATCGTAAATCAAGTTTCTGCGTCGTAAATTGATCCATGGCGGCATATCAACATTGTAAATGCGGATCATCGTAAACCGGATTGTGGTATTAATCAATTAATTTGTAACTTGTTAATGCACGTGCAATGTACCTGTGTAGTCTAATAATTACACACAATATACTCTCTGCCACGTGCATACGCATGCACGCACATGTGATGCTTGGCAATGACTGATGAGTATGGGGGATGTTGCAGGTTTATGTCGACGGAGGAGAAGAAGGGGGCTGGATGTGTCCGGGATAACGAGGTGCTTATCCAGCGGAGGAGAGAGGCCGGGGCTGCCGGAGGCGCTGGCACCGTACCCTACCGCGTCATTGACCAACCGCTCAAGCTCACACAGCAGGACTGGTGCGTGTGTCTGTGTGCGTTCGTTCACGTGTGCATGCGTGTGTATTGTGGGGAGCGGTAGTGTAACGGTTAGCGCGCCGTGCTACGAACCCGGCAATCCGGGTTCGATTCCTGCTCAAGGCCAACACCAGTGACGATTATCTGAACCGGTCCTGGGCCTACCCTAGGTCGACTCAGCCTCAAATGAGTACTTGTTGTGGTGTGTAAACATCAAGGTCGGGTGTGGTGCTGGTCACCCACCCCCTCGTGTGCTGTCCCGGCAGTCATAGGTGCTCCCCAACAGCACTTGCCCCAACAGTCTGTTCAGGCTATACAGAGGGTCTGTGTGTATGTATGTCTGCATGCGGCAGTTTGTTTGGTGCCACACGATTGGGGTACGGGCTAGCCAAGGGTATGGGTTGGCATGGTACAAGAGGATTTGGAGCTGATTGGAGTTGCTGATGACTGGCACCAGCATTGTAACGCCTCGGTAGGAGTAGGCTTGTGATGGACGCTCCTGGGCAGTTGGAGGCAGCAGCCCTCCAACAACAATGGAGGGTAGAGGAGCAATGCTCTCAACAACGAGCAGAGCACCGGATAGCTAAAACCCAGAATGTTGGCAGAGTGGGGAGAGCACATTGTGGTACGTCTGCTATTCATCTGAGTTAACCAACCTATAACACATGGGTTTGTCCTGTGACCTGCTAGTGAGTCTTTGAAAGTTCATGTATCCTCGGAGTGCACTTAGCCTGGCACGAGTGAGTGTGCGTGTTTCTCTGTGGAGTGATGATGTGTATGCACGTGTGAAGTTGTTGTTTTTCCCTCCCGTTTGCGGGTATTTTGCAGGGAAAGGGTGGTGGCCGTTTTTGTCCAGGGCCCTGCCTGGCAGTTTAAGGGATGGCCCTGGCTTTCTCCAGATGGCTCACCTGTTGATATATTCGCAAAGAGTAAGTGTTATGCATTTTCTATATTACAACGCACGCAAATGCGCATTTGAAATTAAAATTAAGCTCAACCTTAACCCAAATATGATTGCACGCTATTGTCTCCCTATGCTCAAAGTGTCTCGCCCTTCTCCAAACCCTGTCCTCTAGTCAAGGCGTTCCACCTGAAGTTTGAGGAGGAGCGGTTGGATGCCAACGTGATGAAGTGGGATGTGCAAGTGCTGGAGCTCAGCCGACACAAGAGACATCTGGACCAGGCTGTGCTCTTGAGCTTCTGGAATACGCTTGACCAGTAATGCACTCATATCCTGCACACTGCCCAGACCGCATCCACCAATTTGCAACACGAGGACAAACTGATTGGTCGATACTGCACTGACAGGGGTGCACAAGCACAACAATAACAAAAACTCAACACGTCAGATAAAAGGTTAAAAAAACAATTATCAGGTAAGTTCTTGTTCAACACGTAGCTTGTCACAGCCACTCATAACTCAAGTGTGTTTCTCTGAGTTAGGCCACCTGTTGGGGCATTTCTTCTCTCATGCTTACACCACAAAATAACTGCAGGCATCTTCACTTCAACCGCATTGGTGTGTTGCTGAAAGCTTGATATGAAACCCTAAACGCGTAGTTGAACCCAGAACGTCACACTTGGCATGTAAACCTCATTGCGCCTAAGTGAAGCTCAGCTGCCTTCACGAAAAAAACATTGTGAGTGTTGTATGTATTTACATTTTACTTGGTTATTGCAACTCTTGGTTATGGAGAATCCATAAGCGATGCCACTCATTGCAAGTTTGTATTATTTTCCGTGTAGCCTTGGTTTTATTTTTTATTATATTTCACCTGGATAATTCCTTGAGCTGGGACGTCTCGTTTGCAAGGGTGTCCAGTGCGTTCAGTGCCACATAGCAAACACATAATTGCACATACTGTACACACATTTTAATGTTTGGCTGCTGCCTTCCTGTATGTACTTCTAATGCCTGCCCTCTTCTGCTGCCCTGCTCTTTCCCCCTTGTCTTGCAGGTACATGGTCAAGCACAAGACACATCTGAGGTTCTAAAATTCCTGAGACCTGGACCAACCTGACATGAAACAAATTTTTGCATCTCTGTTTTTGTGCGTGCGTGTATATGTATGAAGGTCTGTGTGCGCGAGTGCGTGTGGCTCTGTGTAATTGCGTCTGTGTTTTCGCGCGTATATGTGACCCACCGGCGTGTTTGTGTGCGAGTCTGGACCTGTGTGTACTCCACTTGTGTGAGCACTTGGCCGAAGCTCTACACCCTGTGGTGTCCGTGTCCACACATTTGTACTTGGATTGAACATAGCCAGGCTACAGTGTAACATCCGGAAGGCCTAACCACCAGTGACAAAGCATTTACGGAGAACGCCCAAACAACTGTAGATCTCCTTGCAACAGTTCCGTTGATCATAGTTACAGAAAGCCGTCTTTTGGAACGGGAGGACTTGTATCCCCAACAATCCATACTTGTGACGAGAATTGACAAACATCAGATGCTGCACACTGGGATTTTAAGTCATGATCACAATGCCTTCGTGTAAGAATGATTCCCAAAAAAAATAACTGTACATTGTTTAAATTACTGGTATAGCAAACATTTAGACATTGAATAAAAAAAGAAAAATTTAATAGAATGCTGTTGTGTCATTTATTATTTTATTTCCGATTGAAATCACACTTGCCTTGGCTGCAATAAACTAAACCTTAGATTTATTTTTTCAAGGCCTTGTGCAGTCCTTTTCTGCAACAAGCACATATTCATGCACAGACTTTTACGATTTGAAATCCAATACAAGTGTTTGGGAACAGTTTGTTCATGGTGTTACAGTTTCGGATTTTCAGTTTGAATTATAAATTAGGAACGAACCTACGCAGTTTACGTGATTTTTAACGCTTTCTAATTAAGGTTGAAAGCGTGCATGGGCGAGGTTTGTCTTGCGTTTTTGCTCGGGAAGCTAAGGAAATCCTTGCAGTCACAAGGATTGTTCAGGAGGAGTTATGTAATCTGGGTCTCGACCTGTTGAACTTTTTACTCCCCACAGTGATTCAAATAATTTTCGTGACGATTCGTAGAGCATCATCTCAATCCCATTCCAGTATCGCGATGTGTTTCCTTCTCGTTTGTATTCTCAGTGTTCGCAGTTGTCCAGTGCCCACATTAACAGCTGCCACTGAGGGTCCCCTTTCAAATGTTTGAGACGTTAATGCATTTTCGCTATCTTTATAACCTTACGTGTAACGTATAGGCCCAGGGTTTCCCAAACTCCAGTCCTCACTCCGTCTTTCCACTTGTACCAATTTGCTGGCCATTCAAATTCAAGTCAACTCGTTCCATGCTGGCAACGCCCCGTGATTGTTAAACGCATTCCACGTGACGTGCGCGCTAATCAATCCAATCAAATTAGCGTTGCGTTAAGAGAGCTCGTGCAGATTGAGTGCGTGCGTTGCAGGTGGCTGGAGCGTGGTGCTGGCCACCGCCCTCTCAGTGTGTTGTGTCCTCCCTTCTCTCTCCTTGAGAAACTAGGACCCCTCGAATGGAACATCTGCGCTGGTTAGAAACATTCCGGCTGGCCTGCATATGATCTATCCAGGGTCTCACCAGGATGGATTCTGTGAGGAGCTCACAAATCCTTGAAATATCTGGACACAAGTCACATCAGTGATTTCCTCCGGCAGGCAAGGATGCGTTGGCGGGTCACATAGCCCGCATGCCCAGCTACCGATGCCCAAGCACCTTCTGTTTGGCTGGATAGAGGGGGCTAAACGGGTGCGGCACAGGCTCGAGAAGAGATGGACTGATGTGGTACAGAAGGATGTGGAGCTGAGTGGATTTGCTAATGACTGGCACCAGCGGTGTTAAGATCGGCCTCTGTGGAGAAGGCTCGTGGAGGACGCTACTGGGCAGTAGGGAGGCAATCATCTTCCAACAACGGCGGAGGAGAGACAACAAAGGGCAGCTAAAATGCGGCAAGTTGGTACAGTGGTGTATCTGCCAGTCATCTCGGTCAACCCATGGCACCTGGGTCTGTCCCGTGACCTGCCAGTGATCCTTCAACACTTCACGTGGCCTCAAAGTGCACCTAGTCTGGTACAATATCCGTGGTGACGTCACCGACACTTAGTGACGAATGACGGCTGTTGTCTGCACATGTTCCACGTGACGCAGACCATTAATTAATATTTCAAAATCAGAATATACTGCAGAAATCTGATGAGCTATGAAGCTCTTTTTCACACGTCCAGGAGTTTCACAGATTGCTCAGCACGTCACATGGAACGGGTTAAACAATCATCGGGCGCGTGCAGCGTGGATCGAGTTCATTTGAATGGTGAGCGAATTGGTAAACGTGGAACGACGTGGAGCGTGGTGGTGGGTCGCGAGGACTGCAGTTTGAGAACCCGTGGGGGAGAGGGGTTGTCAGCATGCATTGCGATCCTAGGATGGAATTCGCATTATGATTATTATAATTGCAGTGTATCGCTGAGGTTCTCATTGTTGGAGCAGACAGCTCCAGGAAACGGCAATCAAAATAACACCTTTTTTTCGAATTCGGTAAAAACAACCGCTCTAATCTTCCATTCTCTTTGGTTCTTTCGGTAAAGTCACGTAGGTATATAAAATAAAAAACCTCTATTTGAAGAGCCGCAATGCACGTGGTGAAAACGAGACAGTGGTCCTGAATAAATAACGTGACGAAGCAGTCCTTAAAGAGCTGCATGGTAAACTAGACTCCCATGGTAACCTGGACTTCCATGGTAAACTAGACTCCCATGGTATACTGGACTCCCATGGTCAACTAGACTTCCATGGTAAACTGAACTCCCATGGAAAATGGACTTCCATGGTAAACTGGACTCCCATGGTAAACTGGACTCCAAATGATACATTTGACTCCAAATGATACATTTGACTCCCATGGTAAACTGGACTCCAAATTATACATTTGACTCCCATGGTAAACTGTACTCCCATGGTCAGGGGTCGGCAACCGAAATAATTCGTAAACATAAACCCTCAATATTTCAAGAGCCACAATGTAGTCCTTAAAGAACCGGCAGGTTGCCGACCCCTAAGCTGATATCCGGACTTCTGGACCCAGTGCTGGCCTACGTGCGTTCGGCCTACCGAGATTTCACTGCACAGTTCTCAACACAAAACCAAAATCAGTATTTACACTGGAGGAATCCGATGAGCTATTCAGCTCTTTTTCACAGATGTCCGGTAGGGGCGGGTCAGAACGTTACAACAACAAACAATACAAAACCATTTCGATTTAAAGCTTTCGTGACTGTAGGGATTCATATTATTGGTTCTTTCGGTAAAGTCATGTAGAAGGGAAATAATAAAATAAAAAATATATAACAAGAAAATTATCACGTTTCGATTGCAACACAAGCAATCATCATCAGGTGTGAAAACTACAGTAAGAAAATTTGAAAAAAGTGGCGGTTTTTTCTTAACCGCTAGTTGCTGTCCGTGGTGCTGACGTTAAGAAAAAACCGCCACTTTTTTCAAAATTTCTTGCTGTTTTCACACCTGATGATGATTGCTTGTGTTGCAATCGAATCGTCGTGAGAATTTTATTGTTTTATTTATTATTTTCCTTCTACGTGATTTTACCAAAAGAACCAAGAATATGAATACAAAACAACACGATATAGTGCAAAGTATAGGAAAGGTAAACAAATTGCTTTAAAAAGTTTTTTAAATGAAACTAAACAATTTGTTGTATTTTAGGGGCCGTCAATAAATGACGTTACACCTATGGGGGGGAGGGGGGTCAGACATTTGTGACGAGGGGGGGTTTGAGAAATGTGACGTCACATCAAAATGCGCAACTTTAATTAAATATAAACAATAGAATTGTTATAACAACACTCATTTTGATTAATTTTCATTATTAACTATGTGATTATTTAAATTCACTAAGGTCACCTTTTATTTATTCCATGAAGGAGCATTTTACTTCTCCATGGGAGAATGGAGAAGCATACATTTTGTAAAAATTTGAATGATTGTTATTAAACATTTTTATTTTAATGGTTCTACCAGGGCTTTTCATTCTGTGAAATGAATTTGTGATTGTTATAATTGTACTATCCATTTGGCTTCGTTCTCCTACAAAGTTTCAAGTATTTTTTATAGTTATAATAAATTTTAATATTTTATAATTATAATAGAATTTCAATATAATATTCTCAACATCTGCAGTTTTAGTTAGACGTTGAATATTTTCAAGTGAATTTTATGCTAAATTTCAGCTTTCCAACGCCTCCTTTTTAATCCGTGTTTTATCCTGCAACATCAGAGTGCAGCGCCACATTAAATACGCACTACAATGACAATAGTTTAAAGCGATTTGAAGCATGTTTTATTTTCAAAATGGAATTCTGGTTTTGGGGGGGGGGGGCAGAGCTTTGTGACAATATTTAAGGGGGGTCTGAGTTTTTGTGACGCCGTGTGACGAGGGGGGAGGGGGGGTTAAAAATCGGCCAAAATCGCGTGACGTCATTTATGGACGGCCCCTTAGCAGGTAAGGCCCACTGAGCGACTGGCTTATTTTTCTAGAAGCGACTTGACCACAAATGATGGCTCAACAAAGTGGCTTATCGTGTGGAAATGTATAGCGGAAAAATAGCCTCAAAACTGCAATCTAAAGGCACGTTGATTCTAAATGTGGAGGGGAAGACCCGGAGGGAGACACTCCGAATATACAGCAGGCGCCAGGGTCGGGATGGAACCCTTGACCTCGTCGGCGCGAGTTCATCAAGCGGCTTTGTTGAGTGGCGGTCAACTCTCGACTCCGAGATCATGCGCAGACATTGAAACAAACCCAGTGTTTGGTCGTCCAATGCATTGCTGCTGGATTAATACAGCACGGAAAATTTGTGATTTAAAGCTTTCGTGACTGCAGGGATTCATATTCTTGGTTCTTTCGGTGAAGTCTCGTAGAAGGGAAACAATAAAATAATAAAAATATAAAACAATAAAATTCTCACGACATTTCGATTGCAACACAAGCAATCATTATTAGGTGTGAAAACCACAGTAAGAAATTTTGAAAAAAAGTGGCGTTTTTTTCTTAACGTTAGCACCACGGACAGCGGACGGGCAAAAGTCTAGTTACGTTATTGATAACGAACCGATGATTAATAGCAATTCAAACCTATCATTTGTTTAAAAAAACCCCACCTCACACCGATAATAGTTTCCAAATCTACTGCAGCTTGTCGTACAAGAAGTTTCATGTTGACCCGAGTGACCGCTAATTAAATTAATTAATGAGTAATTGATTACTTTAAAAGCTTTAAATCGAAATTTAAACTTGGAATTGATATTCCAAGTTTTAGAATCGATGGTCGGCTGTCGATTCACGCCGTTAACAAAAATCGAATCGATCACGAAACCTCGCTGTGCGGTAAACGAAACCGGGAATCGATTCGATTCTCGATTCCGTTTGGATCGACTCGCGATCTTTGCGATTCGGTTGGGAGGAGCGTGGATCCACAACGCAGCAGCCCCCGACCGCGGGGGGCCTCATCAGCGCGGCAAGGCCCCTTCCGCGAGCTCGACGTGAATCGTCCTTGACGTGAATCGTCCTCAAGTCTTTGTTGTTGTTGTCGTCGTCGTGAATCGGGTGGCGGCGCGGACGAATCTGCCGTCACCAACGCGGCCGCCGCCTCAGCCGCCGTGCCAGGCGCGAGGAGGAGGCCCTTCGTGGACCTCCCGGTAAACAGCGCCGCGTTGCCTTTCTCGCGTTCTCTCTCTCTTCCTCTCTGTGCACATGGCGTGCGGTGTCCGCTGCCGAGTGGAGCAGGCGGCTCCGGGTGGTTTGTGTCGGCGTCTCGGAGGGCGGCGATCCGAACAAAAATTTGGCGCCAAAATGTTTGTATTTGAAGAGTGACGCCGACGAAACGAGGCCGGAAATGCTCGCGCCTACACTGACACGCACGCTAACATAACGGTGGGACCTCTTTGCCAGTAGCAAAGTATTAACACTATAAGAAGAGGTTTTAACCTCTCTCTGCAGGTGTTAATATTTTCAAACGCCAAATAGAAACCTTTGGCTATGAATGAAGTACTGGACTGTACTTCGTCAACCGCACAGACGCTACTTGCCGTGAACATGTAAACAAACATGCTCTGATAACAATGTAACATGCATTGCCTTTGAAACTATTTAGCCTGCAGCAGAGACCGCAGTCTTCCTGCGGGCATCGTCTCGCCACCGGTGTCGCCACCGGTACCGACACTAGGTGGTGCACAATCAGCGTTTATAGCTCGGGGTGAACGGCTACAAATTGGGACATTTTTTGTTTGCATGTTCACGAGTACTGTGTGTGGTTGATGCAGACTTGATTCCTTGGTGTTTGAACATCTTAACACCTATTGCCAGAAAGGGTAACACATATTCTTACTTTTTAATGTATGTACGTTGAACTTATTTCACGCCGTACGTGGTCAACCGTGCTAATCTTGAGGCGCAAATAGCACGGATGGCTGCCCTCTCCACCGGAATTTTAAAATACACAGTCCACAAGTATTTCTATTCCGCATTTATTAAGTCACACGCCCACACCAGGAGTCTTTAACAACAGCCGCATTGGTTCAACACAAGACAAACTGGATGCGTTTCGATATTCAGTGTCTTGTCATGCTCCCATGGTGGTGAAACTGCCTAATGAACTTTATAGCAATGATGTTGCTTCTAAATGTGGAGTGGAAACCCGGATGACCCGGAGAAAAATCCACGCGACCACGGGGAGAGAGAGACATGCAAACTCCAAATATACAGGCGGTCAGGGTCGGGATCGAACTCACGGCCTCCTGTATAGCAGGCGAGGTAGTTAACATCTCGCCACCACGGCGCTCCAACTGGCACCCATATCTCCCTGCCGGATATGGGTGCCAGTTTCTTGCAACATGGACATCGCAGTTTTCTGTGCGATCAGCTGTTTGTGTGGCAAGGCTGTCAGGGTCGTGTGTCTATCAGGGCTGTGTGTGTGTTGAGGCCGTGTCTGTGACAGGGCTGTGTGTGTCAGACCTGTGTCGGGGCTGTGTGTGTGTCAGGCCTGTGTGTGTGTCAGGGCTGTGTGTGTGTGTCAGGGCCGTGTCTGTGACAGGGCTGTGTTTGTCAGGGCTGTGTGTGTGTCAGGCCTGTGTGTGTGTCAAGCCTGTGTGTATGTCAGGCCTGTGTGTGTATCAGGGCTGTGTGTGTGTCAGGGCCGTGTCTGTGACAGGGCTGTGGTTGTCAGACCTGTGTCGGGGCTATGTGTGTATCTCGGCTGTGTGTATGAGGGGCCGTGTGCATCAGGGTTGGGTTTGTTTTAGGGCATGATATATCATCCAAATTCCAGATAGCAGAGATATTACTATACTCGGATTTACATTTGGATGTAAAAAATACCAAGATAAGGTATTCAGTATACAGCCATACAGTAAAACATGATAGTGCATCCCTACTGGTTACTGCAGCTCTGAAACTATCACCCAGGAATTGTTTCTTCAGCAGATCCTGGCTTTCAATCCTGTTACCTTCAAATGTTGATAACATGTACTGTTTGGTTTCATCCCCCGCAGATTGATGTGGTAGGGAGGGATGAGTGAATCAAGTGGGAGTGTGCCGATGGAGAACGTGCCGCCATCTGAGACCCAGGGCCTGACCCCAGGCCAGGGGCACAAGCTACGAGATGTGAGTGAGGAATGCAAATGTCCTTGTATTTCATAACCATAGGATTTAATAACTCGCTAACTTAGGCAGCATTGGTTTTGTGGCACCGAGTGAGCATAGGGACACAATCTGCACTCATTATGCCTCACCATGGTACATGTAATTTTGACAAATAATATGCTGGCCAAAGAGTAATGAACTTGATTTTAGGGTTTTCAGTGACCAGACCGAATATACAAAGTGAAAAGTTGAGCATGGTGATGATATGTGAGGTCAAGAGATTGGGAAAAACTCCAGCCAAGAGAGACAGATTGATGAGAGATGTCAAGTAGGAGAGTGGTGATGTGTGGTCAGCAAGATGGTTCAGGGTTTGGTGAGCACCTTCAGCCATTTGCTTATATGGGCATCATTCATTTCTGATGATATGAAAAAAATCCATTGAATTTCAAGTTCTCATGTGGGTCCAGCATTTGTATTTTGGCAATTTTCTTTTAAATGCCATTTACCTGAAGTGTCTGGGTGACTCGAGTGGGTTTAAAAATTGGTTTTCAGCCACCCGCGATTAAACTTTTTTCATGTGGAGCGAGTTGATGGTCGAGCCCGGTCACCAATGACTGCACAACAATCATTACAATATATTCAGTTTTAAATAAATTTGGCAAAGTTCCGCCTCTTGATAATAATAAATAGCCTTTTCACTACACCTCCGCTTTTCCCTGCACCTCCGATTTCCCTCCACATCTCTGAATTATCCCCACATCTTTGAATTCCCCCCCATCTCCTATTTCCTCCCGCACCTCTGATTTTGCCTTGCACCTCCGATTACCATGGTTGGCTACGTACAGTGTGAAAAAAGTTCAACATACATATATACATACATGTGGTGAACATATCTCTCGCAGGGCATGTGGTAAATTGCAGCACCCTTAGTGTGAATAAAATAAATCACTTGACAGGACTTCATACAATTTCTGTGATCATCTTCCCAAGGCTGTTCTCCAACATGAGCTCATGCAGTGTTCTGCAAAAGTTCTGAATGGATACTTTTGTCTCGTGACATGGCACAAATAGCACAATTGGTATATAATTGGGAAACAGACAACGTTAGTTTTTTTCCTTGTGAGAAGCAATTAGAAAATCTACACATTTTGGAAACGCACATTTTTGAAATACATGAACCGATTGCTGTGCTGCCATCCTTTGGCCATCTTGCAATCGAGCAGGTTTGGGAGTTTCACAGGTCTACATGATCCACCACATGCAAGCATATTTGTACGCTGGATTACAGTAATGCACCACCCCTACATTTAAAATAGTGTAATATAACTTTGTGTGATTTCACCATTAAAACTATTACATCTGTGGCATATGCAATGTCGCAGCAATGCATAAAGTAGGATTGTGGTTAGAATTATAATTATCATAAGTGGTAAATGAAAATGGTAATATTTGAATATAATAAACATACCACATTCTGCGCCTTCTGATATACAGGGGATTCCTATGAGTCTCGGTACTCCTTTCCGTGGCGCTCGGGAATTACCTCGCTCTCCACTTGCGACCCCTGGACAACCCACGCAGCTGAAGTTGGATTTCTCAGAAAACTCGGACGTGTCGAGGGATGTCAATGCTTTTGAGTGCGTAGCCGAAGAGCTCAACGATGGTAAAGTGGGAAAAAGGAAAGCGGTGGAGCATGAGGAGATGGTGAGTTCTAAGCGGCGCCTAATCGACTACCCTATGCCTGGAAACCTGCTACACCCCGGCCGACAGATTCCACGGACACCGGCACCAGGAATCCTGCCAGCGCTGCCGTCTCAGCTCTTTGGTTATGAAGAGTATGACATTGATCACCAAGGGCCAGTAGCTGGTCAAAGTGACTTGCTCGTCATGCCTGCAAAACCTCAAACCACGCGGCCTGACAAACATAAAAATGTAATAGAGAAAAAGCTTGAATCTATGAAAATAGTTAATAAGGTAGTTGAAAATTTAGTGAGCAACGCGATTCCCACGGGAAGACAACTACCACGCACGCCGCCTACCGATGTCCCAGGCTCGGAGGAAATGCCTGCACTGCCTCTTGAGCAGACAGCTGCTCCTGGCGGGAGACAGAATAATTTGCCATCGCTGGCTGCTTGTGAAACCCACGAAAATCCGCCATTACAGTCCCAGGTGGAGCCAGGAAATCTGGCGACAGCAGAAGAGATGCACAAGCTGGATGGTGCCAACACGAGCAACGCAATCGCGGCTGAAATTATGGATGACAACCAACGTGGTGTGAACAACCAAGATGGAGAAAACACATTGCAGTTTGCTGAACAATGTTTAAACGTCTCTTTACCCAACCATGAGGTGGAAGATCAAACAACTGGGCAGATAAACACAAATGCTGAAACAAACATCAACTGCAGCATCCCTTTGAAAAGTAAGCATTATTATTGGATTGAAATTATCTTGGTTATTATGTTATGAACACAATTTTATCTATCCTTGAGGCCAATTTTGCATCAACATGTGCCTATGTTGACTAGAGGGCTGCATATGGAGAATGTAGACTGCAGTGCAAAGATCAGAATTTAAATTTGTTAAAGCATTTGTAAATTGGGTAAACATTCAGTCAGCAGTGCAGACCCAGTCTGGACTTATCTTTGAAGTTGTTAACTTGTTAAATCCTTTATATTAAGTTCACTTGCTTGCTTGCTTAGGACCGTGCAAATCTTTCGGTCGTTTTTTAACCCACTTCCCGTGATCCAATCGAGCTGACATTTTCCACACAGACTCGTTGTGCGTGACAATTAATGTTCGTGAAAATTTTTGTTCCAAAATTTTACACTTTTTAGGACAAAAATATTATATTTAATTACCAATTGCTTAATGCTGCCATGCAATAATCTGACCCATAGGTGGCAGCCATCTCAAGCCAGAGGACGAGAGGACTCTAGCCGCCACGCATATAAAGGATTTATAGTGAAAAACTTTGTTTTTACGGGTTATACTTGTTTTTATTCTATGGTTGTGTGCAATCTAACTACTAACTATAGTTGTGTGCACATCAGTGGACGGCAATGAGTGATAGGCGGTAGGGTGGACCAGTGGTAACACTCGTGTCTCGGAGGAAGCGAGGCCTGGGTTCACGCCTGACTCAGGGGACGCCTTTATATGTGGAGTTTGTATGCTGTGTCCCCCTGTTCTGCATAGGTTTCCTCAGGGTTCTCCGATTTTCTCCCACAGCTAAAAACACACAATGTATTTATAATTATAAAGGCAATTTCGAATGTGTAAATATTTTGTGAATTGGACGCAATGTTTGATCTCGGAGGCACTGAGCCAGAGCTCAAAGCTCCTCATACGCTAGCCTGAACAGGTGAGGCTTGAGCTGTTGGCTAAAGGTCGAGGGTGCCTGGATGGATGGGCCAGAGCACACATTGAAATTGGTACTACCTGAGGCAGCAAAACTTTAGTAGTACCGATGTATTTACATGGCTTTTAAGGGTGACTTATTTAATAACCCGCTCATTTCAAATGGTTATCGCGTAAATAAATGACAACCATTAAAGTCATATCAACAACAACCGCCATTCGCCGTACTAAGTGGCGGTGACGTCACCACGGCGCTTGTGCCAGGCTTTGTGCATGTTAAGGCCACGTGAAGTGTCGAACGCCCGCTGGCAGGAGGTCATGGGGAAGACCCAAGTGCCATGGGTCGACTGACTGAGATGATTGGCTGATGCACTACCTGTGCCCCCCTACTGTGCCAACTTGCTGTGTTTTAGCCGCCCGGCGCTCCGCTCATTGTGTCACATCTGGTGTTACTGACAATTAAAATAGCTGGTCTTGGCTTATGGACTGAATGCAAAAAAAAATCCTGAAAAATTGCTCATGGGATTACACAGCAGCAACATCGCCCCCCGACTGAAAAACACTTGGCAGGACCCTCCAAGGAAATAGTCTTGAGACTCGGTGAGACTTTCCTGGTTAAACAAGCGTAGTAGTAGTAATAATAATACAGTAGATCATCGAATATTCTGGGGGGGGGGGGGGTGTCAGATTTTCAAAAATGCCGGCTAATCACTGATCATTATTTAACATAGATTGTTTTTGCATATTTTTGTATGACATGGTTTTAGGTGTTGTTTTTAGTGTTTTACATTTGTTTACTATATGAAATTGGCATAAATAAACATGCAAATATACACAAATATCCTATAAAAAGGTACTGTATTTACGGTACCGTACTTACCACTTCAATCCCGTTGACTCTGCATGGGGTGTTGTACGCACTACGTTCATGTTTCAACAACATGATTGTGTTTGACGATCGCCAGACTGGTTACAGCCTTGGGAGCGGTTTTGCTGGTTTTGCCGGATTGGCTTGGGACCGCCGGATAATGTTAGAAGCCTGATAATGGCACGCCGGATAATCGATGATCAACTGTAATAGCACTGTGATGTGTGCCTCGTGTGTATGTAAGCAGGGGGTGTTGCGGAAGTGGAATATATGTTGAAGGAACTGGGTGGCTACAAGCAGTGCACCCCAGACCTTGTCTTCCTGGAGCATAAACGCCATCTGGACCTCTTAAGCAAGCTGAAGGTGAGGGTAGTGCCCTTGTACTCGACATCATTTTATGCAGACTACCATAACTTCCCTTTATCGGGGAAAATTGTGGGCCAGTCTAGGATAAGTGAAATCCCCATACATCTTTGGACAGTGTTTGCCTTGTACAATGTATAATGTTGCCTGGAGTAAAGTCCATGAGAATGATGCATTGGGAGTGATCACACTGGTTAATAAAAGTAATGTTGACCCAGTGAAGGATTTGCATAATTTCGATTTAAAGCTTTCGTGACTGCAGGGATTCATCTTCTTGGTTCTTTCGGTAAAGTCACGTAGAAGGGAAGTAATAAAATAATAAAAATAAAACATAATAAAATAAAATAATTCTCACGACGTTTCGGCTACAACGCAAGCAGCCGTCTTCAGGTGAAGAATGAGACAATGCCAAGCTAGGAGCTTATATATAAGCTGCGTTGGAGGTGGAAGAAAGAGCGCCTTAACAAATGAATATGCTAAATTCCTCTTCATATGCACATTCTTTTGTTAAGGCGCTCTTTCTTCCACCTCCAACGCAGCTTATATATAAGCTCCTAGCTTGGCATTGTCTCATTCTTCACCTGAAGACGGCTGCTTGCGTTGTAGCCGAAACGTCGTGAGAATTATTTTATTTTATTATGTTTTATTTTTATTATTTTATTACTTCCCTTCTACGTGACTTTACCGAAAGAACCAAGAAGATTTGCATAATATAATTATATGTCAGGAACAACTGGGCCTCCTGGTGAGAAGTCTACCTAACTGCAACAATGGTATTTCTTATTTGCTTAAATATAAATTAGGAACTATGTAAGTCCTCCACATATTAACATGGAGACCTGTATGGCTATGGGATAGCATTTCCGAGCATCTGTTAATGTGTGATGGCTTTGTGTTCAATGGGCTATAGCGGCCTCGCATCCCTACAGTGAGTGTAAAGCGTTTGTGCATTGTGGCTGCGCAGGAGGAGCATCTTTTATTGACACGGCAGCATAAGAAGTTGGCGGAGAATAAAGAATATATTGTGGCCTCATTAGAAAAGGTGCAGCAGGACACAGATAAAATGGTGAGAACTTTGCACCAACCCTTGCACAGTCAGTTTGTTAAACCTCTTTTTTTGTACAGCTGATGTAGATGCAGAGCAACTACTACAATTTCACATTCAGGTGGTCAAGCCACATAACGGCGTCACGAGCAGCGGAGTGTATCGCTGTGATGTCTCCTTCATAGTTGTGGATTGGGCATTGCGTCGTTATATGTTGTACGGTCTGTTCCGGATGACCACAGTCGCACACTGGAGAGTTTTTAATTTTCTATTTATGCATCAGGTATCCGCATCTACTTCTGTGGTTTGTGCAGTGGATGCGGTTTAGGGTGGACCATGTGCTTTGTGGAAGATCAAACTCAGGGATCGTCTGTGTTGGGTCTTTCACAAGGTGTTCGTTTGCGAGTTCTTTTGAACTCAAATCAGCTCTCCAAGCTTTATCGGGGTTGATTTTTAAACCTCAATCACATTTACTGATATTCAGCACGCAACATATTTTTTGAGGATTTGCATGTCCAAAAACTGAGTGATTGCATAAACAAATTAAGCGGTGTTTTTTTTGTATATACTACACCACTGGACACTGGGTTAGATTGACATCTTTACAAAATGGCCAAAACGGTGGTGATTTTCTCCATTACTGGCAATAGAAACATTAACGTTTTTTTGTGACATACAACATTGAAAATATTTAATACTGTTAGAATACTGTAAGAATTTTCATATTCCATATAAAAGTACAAATGATAAGCCACTTGGTTGAGCTATTGTTTGTGCCCGGCAGGATAGGGATGGTTTAGTTTTATTTGTGTAATGACAGTGACACCTGCTGGCCTGGAAGGGGAAGTACGGGTACGGGCACTGTTGAAGTAACAACCAATCGGTGAAGGAGGTGGATCTGGGCCAAAGGTAACAGGTGGGATTAGCCGAGATACTTCGGGAACCTGCTCGAAGGTTCCACGAGAGGGCGTGCCCGGAGGCGGGGCCTAGTCACGCCTGGGGGATATAAGGGGGAGCGGACCCAGATCTCGGGGCTTGTCCGTGGGGTCTGGGTCCTGGCCACGTCACTACTCGTCATCTCTCTCCGTCGTCCGACTACGTGGAAGATCGTCTGCGGGGTCTCCATCGCCGACATCGTCACGCCGCCAACTAACGGCGTAGCCAAGCGTAGACAAATGGGACCACGACGAGTGATCGGCTGTGTGTAGTCGTAGAGACGTTTAGCATCTAAGAATATATCCGTGTGAAGAAGAACCAGTGTTGGCCCGTGTTGTGCCCGGTGTGATAAATAAAGAAGTGCCCTCTACACGTGTCGCTCATTACATTTGTATATGTTGGGAGATTTTTTTTGTCTTTCCTATTGTGTTTTTGGATTGTTTGTTGTTGTAACGTTCTTACTCGTTCCTACTGGACATCTGTGAAAAATTACTTGATGGCTCATCGGATTCCTCCAGTATAAATAAATAAATATTTATAAATAATAAACAATGAAGTATTTTTTTAAATGAGAACTATCTTTGAAAAAAAGTATTTGAAACTTCTCAAAACCAACATGAATGGCTAAAAACCTGTAATCCGGCTGACTAACGCAGTGGGTTATGAGACCACCGTCATGTTTCCATTGGGTTAGTGACACAACCATTAACAAAAATGTAAAGATTAGAAGTCAGGGGTCAGCTCGTCATCATGCAGCATCTCTGTACTCGGTGAACTTTTGACAGACAGAGCACGTGATGAGCACCGTGAAGCAAGCCCTGGGCTCGGGTGGACATTCCATCGAGGACCCGGCGGACGCACTCGCTCTTCTGCCCTCGCTCGACATAGCACTGCTTCGGCGGCAGCAGCAATTGCAGGCCGCACGGGGAAAACAGCTGTCACTTGAAGTGGAGCGACGCACGGCTGAATTGCTCGCTGAGAAGTCTCACCTGGAGCTGGCTATCAGGTACCGTCAGCCGTCTGGAGTTGAGGTGCCCATTGGAGCTCTTCACAACTCCCTGGGACATGTGCCACAGTGACAGCATTACTTATTTTGTGCACGATGAATGTCTTGTAAACAAAATCAAACTAGGAAGAAAAATCATGCATATGCCTGGATCCTGTTAAGCCTTCCAACATGCGTTTAACCTTGGAAGTATTTAATTAGCAATAGTAATCTGAGCGTTCACACCAGGTGCACAGGAAGCAGTGTATCTGTAGGCCTCAATGATTCACCGGGGAGTGGCTGTTGGTGCGCCTTGGCTCCCATGGCTAGGTCTCCCAGACAGGGCCTTTTAGAGCACTTGATTGTGTGTGTGCTATCGCCTACAACACCAGGCACATCAGTATTTAAGAGCTCACAACCTGCTGATAACTCGGATAAAGTTTTGCTTTAATATATGGTGTTGTGTCCATCTGTCTGGTCCCTTTTAAACGTGAAGAGTTGTGAGTTAAAATTCCAGTCTGCCATTGACTTGCATTGTTATTCTGTGGTCAATAAAATAGCTGCCACCTTTCAGGAAGTTGGCAGTGGTTTTGCTCTGGATGTGCATTCTGCCATTTTTGGAATAGATAATTTTCACCTCAAAAAAGAACTCAAAGGATCGCGAGAAAAACACAAATAAACATCAGCAGACAGAACAACGGAGAGACAGACAAAATCCAACGGATGTAGAAATAAAGGCAAACGGAGACAAAGAGAGGGGGAGACAGAATTTCACTGAGACAGACAAAGACAGAGAGAGGACGCACATAGTTAGGGAAACAAAGAGTCTTGGTGACACAAGGAGATATGCAAAGAGAGACATGGACAAAGACTGATACAGAGACCTCGTGAAAGACAGAGAAAGGTGGAGATAGAGAGAAACATCAAGAGGGAGACAGAGGGGCTAAGACAAGAAAGATGGACTCTCCGGCTTATTTTAAGAAGCATTTTTTTTAAATGCCGTGATTTTCATAACATCAAGTATTTGTGTTTTGGCTAAATCGTACAAAATCCTATTTGGTGCACCCCCATGATAAATGTAAATGCTAGAATGTACGATTATCTCCGAGCAATTGTTGGCTGTGCTGGGGTGTCGAATGCCACACTTGTTGCGTACCCTGCTTGTGGATGATGCAGGATACATTGCTACAGTACTCAGGTTTGTGTTGCAGGCAACAGGACATAAGTCACCAGACAGTCTGTTTTTTCCTGTGTGTTTTTGTCATTCTGTTTATATACAAGGTTGTCTTTCGTCACAATACTATACTGTATAAATGCACAGTGCATGACAGGTGCTACATGGCATGTTATTTTGTTTCTGCACATTCTTTACTGCTCATGAGTTGATTTTCATGAGTTGGGAACATTGCATTTGCCGCTTCTTGATGTTGTTCTGCTTCTGCAGAGAGAAGCAGGAAGAATACCAAAAAGTGGTCATTGAAGCGTCCATGAAGCACCAACAGGAAGAGGTGAATGTGCCTTTGTGGAGTTGGGCATCTATGTGGGATGTTCTTTGTCCCTAATCACTACCTACTCAAACTTTTGCATGATATTTCGTAAATGTGTATTATTGTTAATGGGTGCATTCGTGTGATCCAGTTCAGGATGGTGTACAAATGGTTTTCACCGATAAATTGTAAAAACTCTGAAGTGTTATTCTCTCTGCACAAAAGTTGTGCGACGCCTATTATCAATATATATTTACTGGTAAGAAGATGCTGTAAGCTTTCATATATTTCTTGTGTGTGGGCATAGATTGAGATATAAACCATTTTCTCAAGGGTTTTTGTTATATATTATAAATTTTTGTATTTAGTTTGTTGTCCTCCCACACCTTAGCACGGTTGGCCACATACGGTGGGAAGGAAGTTTATCGTAAATACAGCAGCGGGTTTTTTCGTGGCAGTGTCAAAAAATGTTTCCCAAAATTACCTATTTTAACTTTTATTTGTACCTACCATCCATACCCACGTGTATGTTGTAAACTGCATTGCCTTTTCCTTGATGTATCAGGTTTTTCAGCAGTTTGGATTTATAAAGTGGGGAAATGCAAAATCAGCTCAAGATGTTACACGGCAGGGGAACTTTAATGGCTGTCACAAGGACAACATGGAATGGATTAGAATGGTGTCAATGGAGATGTTATACTTACTTTTCATCCCCTTTGGGACATACGGCTAAAATGAGCTCTCGACATCTGTTCCTGTCCTTTGCTGCATGCTGTGCCTCTCTCTATGAGAGCTTCATCTGGCCACGCTATTCGTTGACCTGTTCTTCGCCAGGTGGTTTTTGGCCTCCTCGGTTTTCTTTTTCCCGGAGGCGTCCATCTCGGAGCAATTTTAGCGATGCGGTTCTATTCCATTCTTAGGACATGGCCTCGCCATCGCAGTCTTTGTTGTTTTATTTCCTTTGTGATATTCCAGCTTCGGGTCCTCAAATACAATTCACGATTGGATATTTAGTTCGGCCAAAATATATGACAGATATATCTGAGGCATCCATTGTGGAAGGCCTCAACCTTTTTCATGTCTGCTTTCACGACCCTCCAGCATTCAGAGCGATATAGCAGGATGGACTTGACATTGCTGTTGTGTATTTGGACTTTTGTTTTCAGATTGTACTGTTTGGTTAGCAGTTGACAGAAGGTGCCCCTAGCTTTTCCCAACCTTGCCTTGATATCTTTATGGGCCCCGTTGTCCTTGCTAATGAGGCTACCCAGGTAGGTGAAGTCGTCCACAAACTCCAGTGGGATCACCGTTTCTAACAGCGGGTGTCGTGGGGGTGGCATTGATGCACATCACTTGAGTTTGGAAGTGTTGATTTACTGTTTAGACCTGTTTGCTTGGCATAGTTATCAAGCCTATCAGTTTTTTTCCTGTAGGTTGGAGTGGTAGGTGGAAAGGACAGCGAGGTCGTTAACAAAGTCTCTAGGTCCTCCAGCTGATTGAACAGGGTCCACTGGATGCCTCTGGATTTGTCTGATATGGTATTGCTCATGATCCAGTCTATGGTGAGGATCAAGAGGATGAGTGAGGATGATGCACCCTTTTCTCAGTCCAGACTCTACAGGGAACCACTTGGAGAGGGCGTTGTCCATGATTAACTACTGCATTCAAAGTGTTCATAGAATTTTCCTATGATGGTTATGATCTTGGATGTAATTCTATAGGAGCACATTATCTTCCAAAGTGTATCCCTATGTACACTGTCGAAGGCTTTCTTTAAATCCACAAAGTTGATGAACAAAGGTGTGTTCCATTCTAAGAACTGCTCAATTATGTTTCGTAGTGCAAATATCTGGTGCATAATCTTTCTCTTTTGCTCCTTTCCTGAGCCTGGTGTGAATGGCTGCTTCCCTTCTACGTGACTTTACCGAAAGAACCAAGAAGATGTTTCCATTCTGTTGAGGAGAACTCTGCAGAAGATCTTGCTGGGAATGGATAGCAAGGTGATACCTCGACAGTTTGCAATTTTGAGGTGTCTTTCTTTGCTATTTTAATGATGAGAACTTTAGTCCAGTCATCAGAGATGTTGTCTGTGGCCCAGATATTATGGAAGAGGTCGTTCAGAACCTTGGCAGCTCTGGGAATGTCTATTTTCAGAATCTCTGCATGGATTTAATCTATTGCACATGCCTTGCCACTTTTCAGAGATTTGATTGCGGCTCTAACCTCATATGTCAGGAGGACTGGTGTCAATATCAAGGACATCATCTGTTGATGGAATGTGTTCGCTGACTGTTCTCGGGTCAGGGAGGTTTTTCCATTTGTAGCTAATGGGAGCAGATTGGTTGTAATTTTTGCCACTGAGACGCTTGGTGTTCTTGTAGACTGCTTCAGGTCTCATTGTCTGCAGCCTTCTCAGCTTCACGAGCCAAGTTTTCAACAAAGGCCTTCTTGTCTCTCCTGGCTATCCTGGCTTGTTTCTGGAGCCTTGGTGACTTGGAGTTTAGTAACTTTGTTTTCGATTGTTTTCTCTCTTCAATCTTTTGCTATGATATCTGGTATTGTCCACTCTTTAGCCCCCTTCTGTTTGAAACCTAGGGCCCTTTGCGCTGCTTCAATGTAGGTGTTCTTGATGTTATCCCATTTTCTGTTCATGTTTTGCTCGTCATCCATTTCAGTGGTGGCATTTATAGCACTAAAAGGGTTCTTTAGCTCCATGACAAACTCTTTGTTCTTCTTCGGGCACTTGAGTTTTCGCATTGTCCAGTTGTTTCCGGCGCTGTCCTTGTGGTATGGCCCTCTTGAGCTTGATAGTGGCAGTGACAAGGTAGTGGTCGCGATAGGCATCTGCACCACGTTATGTTCTAACATCCTGGAGAGTGACCTGCGCCACTTGCTACTGATACTAATGTGGTCATTCTGGTTGGTGGGCCTACTGTCAGGAGTTTTTATATAGTGAGGAAAAATTTACCGTTAAACATCTGTATGTTGTATAGGATCACGCTTAAGAATATAAATATAACCATCATAGGCACAGGGGAAAAGAGATAGGTGTGGTACGTGGGGCAAGAACACATGGAATATTTAATAAAATTGAGGGCAATCTTTGTAGACTGAGGACAGTAGTTGATCCATATTGGATTTGAAAACATTTAAGAGATCTGTGATTTGGATAAAAGTGGTTGCATTTATTGGTATGGATAACAAGTCTGGCATTGGCTTCATCATCAGGAGTTTAGGCAGACTAGAGAACTCAGTCCTCAGTCACGCATGGTGTCTGTTCTCATGCACAGGGACCACTCCGCCCAATCTGCATCACAATCGGCTCCGACTCGTTACAAGGATGAGCACAGCGGGGGATAGAATACACTATGTAACACAATTTTTGTTACTGGGTAGTAAGTGTGATTTCCTAATTGCTAATGCCTAAAAAGTATAGAAAATGGCTATTATTCCCCACAAACTTTGCTTTTGTGACCAGGACAGTGATATTTAGAAATTGACCTATTTTCAATGAGAAAACAGGCGTATTTGTGTATTTTCGTTCACATAAAAGTCAGAAAAAAAACATGGGGATCCACCAGTGGCTCCCACATGACGTTGTTCCTCCCCACAGAGAACTCGGTCCGCTGTGGCCAGTCGAGCCTGTGGTAGTGCACCTTGGTGCCCCTGCTGTCCCAAAGGCAAAGATAGCAGGGAAACTTGGTAAAAACGCCTTGGAGATCCATCAGGAATGCCACCATTTAGAAGTTTCCGATGACCTCCCAGCCGTACTCATCATACTTCAAGGCATCCAGCAAGGTCTTGATGCTGTTGTAATCCTCTTTGAGGTGCACTGAGTGAGCCAGGAGAAGAGATGGGTACTTGTTACCAGTTATGGAGCAGCATGGCTTTGAGGCTCCTGGATGACCTGTCAATGAAGAGGCGCCACTCATTCTGGTTACAGGCGATTCCGATAACATTTCAATAACATTGAAAATTGTAAAACATTTATAAATTAAAAACTTTTACAATTTTTTCTTTTTACAAATTTTATAACATAAATTCCTGAGAACAATTGTCCAACTTACCTTCCAAAGTTTTTGTTGCATTGTTCGCAGGAGAAATGAGGTGCCCAGGGGTTGTCTTGATCTCCGACAGGCATGCCGAAATATGCCTTGTAAGCCCCGTACATCTTAGCAGATGCTTCCACAGAGTATTTTTTCGCTCTTGTCTTGATAAATTGGCCGCAGACATAGCAAAATGCGTCTGCCGGATGCTTGCAGCCTCTTGATGTCATCTCAGAAAAATGCAGATTTGTATCCACTTAGTCAGCAGGAACTAAACTCAACTGGTGGGCTTAAGGCCCCTGTATTTATACTACTATTTATATTACTGGATAGTTCTAGAATGTTCTAGACTGTTACTCCAAAGTTTACTCAGCACTGAATCTATCTGGAATGTTCTGGAAAATAGGTAAATTTCTAAATATCACTATCCTAGTCACAAAAGCAAAGTTTGTGGGGAATAATAGCCATTTTCTGTAGTGTTAAGGCATAAGCAATTAGGAAAGAACACAACCCAGGAACAAAAAATGTCTACAAATTGGTTACACATTGATATGCAGGGTGTTTCAAAAAGATGGACCCAATTTCAAAGCAGTGTTTCACGATGGCAACATGTTACAATTACACAAACAGTTACAAACGGTTTAATGAGTTATCAAGTTTTACTAACAATTTTATAAATGCTCTATGTGCCCTCCACTTGCTGTACGGACAACATCGAGATGATAGTTGAATTCGTCCCAAATGCCTCTCAAAGTGTCTCCTTCCACTGAAGTCACCGCTGCCGTGATTCTGTTTTTGAGGTCATCCAGATTAGTCGCTAATGGTGGCACAAAAATACGGTCTTTGAAGTATCCCCACAAGAGAAAGTCGCAGGGTGAGTTGATATCTGGGGATCGTGGGGGCCAAGAGTGTAGCGCCAAGTCTTGGGATCCCGTGCGACCTATCCAACGTTAAGGCAGTGTGTCTCGCGAATGACTGAGGCTAGGGGCTGTTTGTGCGCTGGGAGAGGCATCTAGCGGTATTCATTTGAAACTATGCCCCGCCCTCTCTATGCCCCGCCATTTCAAGTGGTAAGAGTTTCATTCATGGGCGGTTCGTGGTTGCAGAGATAGCGATTTCAAATCGGGTCCATCTTTATGAAACATCCTGTATATCTATGAAAATACCTTTAAAAAAAGATAATTTAACTTTTAGGACCACTAAGCTTGAATCCATTATACCAATGTCCACGTGAGTTGTAGTGAGATTTATTACACCATGTCCCTTGTCCCTCAATATCCCTGAACTTTATAACTTGCTGCCATGCCACAATGTGACCCTTCATTGTTGCTTGTGGACGTACATCACAGGGAGAGGTGAAGAAGTTGCAAGCTATTCTGGAAAGACACAAGCAAAGTGTTAAGGCTACAAAGGTCAGTGTTCAACCATTCCATGACTACAACCACTCGGTTCCCCTTTCAAGTACAGTCTGAGCATGCGAGTGAGTGACTGTGGTGTGCTTATGGTTTTCTAATCATTGAACAGTTGAGGCCTTGGTGTTATGAATTTGATCACTCGTGTTCAGTCTCAACTATTAAGATGCACAGTTTCGTATTTAATTGTTCATTAAATCAACATTTATTTCTGAGTTTCTAAATCTAGGGACGTGTATGTTTATGAGTCCGTATTTGAAGTAAAATGTTATGAAAGATGCAAAGCAAAATTTGCACATTTAACCAGACTGCAAATATCTGTACAAGGCACGCAGTTTTGTGTTTTGCATATGCACAATTATGTTTTTTGCATATGCACAAAGGCTGTGCTTTTTACACATTTTGTGTCTTTGAAGCTGCTGAGTTCGTTAAATTAGTCCAATGGTTATGATTGGAGTGGCTGTATAAGTGTTACATTAAATCGGTTCATTAAAAAGCATTTAAATGACTGGGCAAATGTTTAAGGTTTGAAAGTTTAGTCATGTTTTTAAATCACACTGAAATGTATGTATTTTGGGGCTTTGGCATGTTGATTGCTTTTTAGCACTTAGTGTTGTATGGGGAGGCCTCCAGCTTGGAGTTGGAAGGCTCTCCTGCTAAACCTGGAGCATGCTACTGAGAGGTCAGGGCTTACCATTAGCCCCACCCAAACTAAGCATCTCCCTGGGTATTTTGTGTCATCAAACACTCCACTCCCTCAACTGCCCGCATGAGTAATGGGGCAGTTGTGAAGAGAGTGGAGAGGTTTCCATATGTTGGCAGTGTGCTTATGACCAGCTGCATAACACTGGAGAAGCTACCTGGCCTGTCTGCTCCACATGAAGCTTCGGGTATTCTCAACCACAGTTATGCCTTCCCTTTTCTGTGCTTGCGAAATGTGGACTCTAATGGAACGTCTGAGCTGGTTTAACCAGGCTGAATTGTGCGAGGAGCTCACAAATCCTTGAAATATCTGTGTCCAGATATTTTAAGGATTTGTGGGTTATGTAGCCCATATTCTCAGCCACTGCATGCCAAAACAGCTTCTGTTTGGCTGGATAGAGGGGGCTAAACGGCCGTGGCACAGGCTAGAGAGGAGATAGTAGAGGATATGGAGCTGAACGGACTTGCCGTAGTCCTGGTACCAGCAGTGCCAAGATCGGCCAGTATGGAGGAGGCTCACAAGGGACACCATTGAGCAGTTGGCAGAATGTTGACCGCCAACAACAGTGGAGGGCAGAGGAGTGATGTTCACAACAACAAGCAGAGCGTCGGGCGGTTAAAATGCAGCAAGTTGGCATAGTAGGGGGCACAGGTGATGCATTTGCCAGTCTTCTCAGTCAGTCTACCTATGGCACCTGGGTTTGTCCTGTGACCTGCCAGCGAGCCTTCGATATTCTACGTGGCCTCAAAGTGTACCTAACCTGGCAGAAGCGTCGTGGTGACATCACTGCCACTTCGTGGCGAATGTTGTTTATATGTTGTTGTGATCTGCAGTGTGGTGGCTGAACAGTGTCAATGAGACCAAGCAGTCAATCTCTGGCAGTGGAGTTGAGCACCACTCCACTGCTCATTTGGACAGGAACACACTTTGTCCAAACTCTGTTTGCGAGTACGATCACGCAAGTAACTGTAATCAAGATTTCTTCTATTCGGCGTACGTAATTGTAATTTTACCGTGTCCATTGACAGTTGAAGACATCGGAGCTGCATCGAGCGTTGCAGGAGGATTTGAGCCAGAGCGAGGTTGGGGTGCGTGAAGCAGCGGTGCCAGAGCGACACCCAGAGCGACACCCAGAGCAGCAACGAGCCAAGGCCCGGCTGCGCCGACTGAAAGCAGCGCAAGGAGTGCGCAGAGCGCAGGCAAAAAATGATTAATGACATGCTTGCAAAACCACTAAGTCTGACGTATAACCACCACCAACCTCGTTTAACTTTGCCTATATAGAAGCATGTTTTTGTTCCCACACAACATTCACAACTTCTCCATCCTCTTACACCTTGATCTTGTTTCATGCTGGTTTCTGTCTCCATTACCTAAGAGTCAAATTTGAGATGTCCTGTCTTGAGATATTGTTGCTCGTTGGGAAGTCGGTGAGTGTTAAAGATGTCACAAGTGACCCACGTACACGCACCCTCCTCAGTCATTTACCTCCTTACTCAACAGACTACTCTTGGGATCCTTATTTTCCAGTCTAGGTATCCCTCGTTTTTACGAACGTTCGGTTTTGCGAAATGTGGCATGAACGCGATTGGCAAATTATAGGACACATTTCAATTCACAAAATGGAATTTCCGCGTCAATGAATTAGTCACGCGCCATGAGATCAAACACGAAGCACCCGGGAGGCTGCGTCATGCCCATCCGTTACAGCGTCACGGTATCCCTGCAGTGCAACAGCAATGCCTCCACATCACCTTGCCAGTCATTCCAACATGTAGCAGATCTTTTCGCGAGTTCCCTGAAAAGGTAATTTTTTTTTTTTATTAATGTTCTTTATGATTTTTGTATTGTAAAAGGTGATGTAGGTGTGTATTTTTAGGGTAAGAGTAGCGTTGGGATGACTGAAACACATCCATAATTTATGTATTGGAAAAATCCATTCCTGTTTACGAGATTTTTGTTCTCCGTGTTGCCTTTTGAGGGAATGCTTCGTGATGATGTTGCAGTTCAGACATCGGTGTCTCGAGACGGAGACATTAACATTTTACCCTGAGTCAAAATGAGGATGCACTCTCGTGATTTGGTTGCTCTTTGGAAAGTCTCGAGTATGAAATGTGTCATGTTCCTTGCACACAACCAGGCAGCATGTTCACTCATTTACTTCCTTGCTCAGCAGACTGCTCTCATCACCTTCATTTCCAATACCGCTGCATTGTTCCCACGTTTTTGCATTTTTCTTTCAAATTATGTTGCAGTTGTGATATCAGCGTTGTGCTTTGAGACAGATGTACATCCAGCAAGCAGTATTACACCAATTCAGATGTTTTCACTACCCTAGAAAATTGTCAGAATTATGAGATTACTTTTTTAATAAGCATCTAATAAACACATCTGGGGACAACTCTGTATCTGTACCGTACCCCTGTTCATATGACGTCTCCTAAAAATGTTTAGTTCTCAAGTGAAATAATCCGCTTGAGTTGAAAACCCAAATACGAGAATCAGTCTGCCTGGGTTCAACCCTGGATATGGGCTCTGACTATTATCCTACTAAGACAACCTCCTTGTCTCACACAAATTAGTCTTGTTTAGACAATATTAGGCTCCGTTGACTTTCTCTACGAACTGAATTCACGTAGTACGCCAAGTGTAAGCCTTTAATAGAAAATATATTTTTAAATGCGGGTTTGTGTTTTCACACCATTCTGAATGCCATGACATGAATTTAGACTTGGTCCGTTCGCTTACTGAAAGGAGGCTCAAGAGATGCGTGTACATTTGTTTGAAGTGCAGAATTAGCAATTTGTACGGTAGATGAGTTTATGAGGGTGATAGTACGTGATGGATATGATGATGCGTGAAATAAACGATTAAATTGACAATGAGTGGCTAATGATGAATTGAGTGATGTTGGATGGTCTGGGAAGATGGACGGAGTTAGTGGTGGGGAAGGAGAGTTGGGGTAAGCGACGGACAATCAGTGAGTGAGTTCTAAGGGGAGAATGAAACAGCGAGCGGGGCTGATTGTTTTACAAGTAGGGGCAGCTTATTCCAGTGCGTAGGACGTCTACAATCACTGCCGTTCTGAGATCCAGCGCTACATCTTGATGCGTGGAATTGCACGACGATGTGACGTTCCGTGCAGAATACCACTGAAACAACTTACGCGTTGCACAGCGAATGTGTGAGCGGGATTTTCAGAGGCAACTGCAGTGTCATCCCAGGCTAGAAGGAGCTCCCTGTGATCACACATCGGTTACCAGAGAAGTTACTCATTGGCCTGTAACGGTGCAGTGCGATCATCGATGTTCCGAGTTTCCAGGAAACTGCCCACCACTAAGAGGAGTGGCAGCTTCGTGAGCGCATTGCCCGTCCACGCGGTGACCCTTGGGGTTTGTAGGACGGCGACTGCAGCCTCATCCCACTCCTTAGGCCAGTGGTTCTCAACCCGGGGATCCGCAGCAATGTCCCAGGCGGTAGGGGAGATGATTTATACATGTGTGAAATTCTATCAAACGTAAGAGTCATCGGTGAATTATCACGTAGGAATCTGCCAATATAAAATAATAACATTGTAATGCATATGGTATTCCAAGAGAGCAGAACGTCCGTTGATTGTTTTTATTCGCTTGCAGTTACTTGCGAGTTAGGATATACCTCACAAAATGGACCAATTGGTTAAATATTCATGTTCATTATTCATACATTTATTTCTCAAAACCATATTTGGTCAGGCAAGAGGGTACACTCGGTTGGAACAAGGTTCAAGAAGGGGTAGTACAGTAGCCGAACAAGGTTGAGAACCACTGGGCGAGGCATTCACAGGCTGGAGGTGCTGATGGCAAGTGTTGCATGTGAGGGCTCTCCAATGCAGCAACACATTTCATTTGGTTTTCTTAAGCCAATAGTATCGCCAGTTGTGTGTAGGCATACTTTTACATAGTTCATTGGCAAGTTAAATAGTGTCATCGTCCGCAGATGAAAACTCCGGCAGCAATCTTAAAATAAATTAAGGAAGAACTACTTGAATGAATATGTAAATTCACGCAATTCCATAACATGATAAACTTATTTCTCACCGTACGTAGCCAGACGTGCGGGTAAGGACAACTAAACACAAAAGCGTTTCTAAAGAAATTCGTGTTCAATGTAGATTTGAAAGTGCATAGCTCCAGTGGCATCCTAATATCGGAAGGAAGAGCGTTCCAGACGGCCGTAGAAGTGCATCCGAAAGCTCGCGATGCAGGAATCGTCTTTGTTCGATGGCCAGCCAAAATGATCTGCTGCGAGGATTATCGGAGTTCGCGTGATGATGGTTTATGCATGCTTGACGACATCAGCAGCAAGGTGTTGTGGTTCATGAGTGGCGAGCACGTCGTGTGTAATGAGAGAGCGACCTCGTCACAAATTCGTTGGGCAACCGGAAGGCGATGTAGCTCGGCAAGACACTGATCTCAAACGATCTTATCTGCTGTCACCACACGTGCCGGGATATTTCACAATACCGACCACTGTCTGGTCTCAAACAATTTTATTGAACAAATGTGCCGATATGATCTTAATAATCATGCGGCTATCAGCCTCGGTTCGTGCATCTACTAAATATCAACTAACAATGAAACTCTGATACATTAGAGAACAAACCGACTAAACAAGCAGACTTTCATGAAATCATTATCAACATCAGGCCACCTTCAATCAAATAACAGTACAATGTGTACGGCAAATATATTTCTCAAGCTGTCATAGATTTATACCACAAGGCATTAGATTATATGTCCTGTACACCATCCGCAGTAGCGAGTCTAAAACAACGAGGAATGAAAACAATCTGTGACTGAAGAACACGAAGAGTGAAGGTAACGCCGCATCACCATCGGGGTAACGGAATCATCAGAGAGAATATCAACCCGAAACACATTTACATTGCGCTGATTACATTGTCCTGTTTTTCACGTAACAAAAGTAGATTTTACATTTTATCAAAGATTTTATCGAGCATTGCAAAGCCTAGGAATAGCTAAATTGACAGTTTAAGAGAACATGTGAACACAAACGGTACTAAAATTGAGTACGTTGATGAATTTAACCATTAGGGTCAAACAATCTCATTTGTATGAAAGACGAGAACGACAAATCCTACAATTATCTACAGATGTTATACAATGTTTTGGTTCTTTCGGTAAAGTCACGTAGGTAGAAATACTAATTTATTTTATGTAAAATTGTATTCTATTTCTTCCTACGTGACTTTACCGAAAGAACCAAAGAGTATGGATTCCTGCAGTCACGAAAGCTTCAAATCAAGATTATACAATGTCGTTTGGTCTATAAAAGAAAAGTGCCTTCAATGAAAAGAACTTGCACAGATGGTGCCCCTTTTAATTTACATATGCCATTCACATATTTATATCTAAACCACGAGCGGTCAAAGTTGACCCGTAGAGATGACGAGATGAACCCAAAGCATCCGGAGGCCGCGACGGCTGCAAGGAAAGCGCGGAACGGAATCAACTCGGGGGAGGCGTTTGCCCCCCAGTGTGGAAACACAGAGCGACAGCCGCCGTCGAATGTGAACCTGCAGTCCGCAGTTGACGACGATGCGGAGGTTCACTCGCAGCGAGAGGCACGCGCAGTCGCGTGGCGCGTGCACGGACGCGTCCGCGTTCTCTTCTTCTGCTGCTGCTTCGTTCGTGTGGCTGCTGATGCAGGTGCACAGCAGACGACTATGAAGTCACATGCAGGTGGGCAAGCCCAGATCGCCGCGTGAGAAGCAGCAGTGGTAGTGAGTGTATCGCTGTGACGTCTCCGTCGTGTTTGTGGACCGGGCATTGCGTCGCTACACGTGGCACGGTCTGTTCTGGATGGCCACAGTCGCAGGCTCCTGGAGAGTTTCTAATTTAACATTTGTGCATCAGGGTATCCGCATCTACTGCCGTGGTTTGTGCAGTGGATGCGGTTTCGGGTGGACCGTGAGCAACTTCGTGGAAGACCAAACCCAGCGATCTTCTGCATTGGGTCTTTCACAACAAGCTGTTTTACGCATTGGTTTTTTTCCGGTAAAGACAGGTATGTAGAAATAAAATTAAATAAATTAAATTAAAATAAATCACGACGTTTCGAACGCAAAACAAGCGCTCATCATCAGGTGGAAATGGGATTAAACATATCACACAGAGGGACACCACGTACACAGCACACAGAGAACGGCAAACTGCACGTAAGCAAATGCAACAAGAAGATGGGAGACGAGAAACTCAACAGACCTTAGAACCATCACGTGATGCAAACCAGTCGGCCAACAACAAAGTTAGACACTCACCTGGTTGACCACGTATTTCAAAAGACTGCTAAATCTCTAGTGTTCATCATCTGGGCTGAACATGCCGACGTAAAAACAGAGGACAGGGACTCGTGAACAGACACGAGGTACATACACATAGAAGACACACAAGGAAAGATATACTTCTGGGCAGCCCAGAGGGACAACCAGAGCAACGGCACACCAAGAGACATCCACACATGCAGAGGCACACACAGCGAGCTGTTTGTTTGAATGGCGGCGTTCGCTCGTGTGAAGTTGCGACCAGTGGACACAACTCGAAGCCCCCCCCCCCCCCCCACGTGCACGAGAGACGCCGCCTTGGAGTGACACCGCCGCTGCCGCCGCTGTTGCTGCTGCCGAGCCGAGCTCACTTTGTCCCCGAGGAGGCTCTGGAGTTGCTGATGAAGCGGGAGAGCTGCCCCACGCCCTCCAGGAGGCCCTCTCCGGTGCGGGCGCAGCAGCCCTGCACCAGCCACTCGCGCCCGTGCCGCGTCTTCACCGCCTTCATCGCCTCCGCCACCTCCGCGGTGGCCGCTGCCCGCGGGAGGTCCTGCTTGTTGGCGAGGAGCACGAAGGGCACCCGCGTCATCTCGGGGCTGTCCAGGATGGCGTCCAGCTCCGCGAGAGCCTCCGGGAAGCGCTCCCGGTCCGCGCTGTCCAGCACGAAGAGGAGCCCGTCCGTGTTCTGGAAGTAGTGCCTCCAGAGAGCGCGGATCTTCTGCTGGCCGCCCACGTCCCACACGGTGAAGGTGACGTTCCTGATGGGCTGCACGGTCTCCACGTTGAAGCCGATGGTCGGGATGGTCACCACGGATTCGTCGAGCTTGAGCTTGTACAGGATGCTGGTTTTCCCGGCCGCGTCCAAACCCAGCAGCAGCACGCGCGCTTGCTGAGTGAACATTCCGCCCAGCAGCGACGCCACTCGCGACGCAAGGAGACCCATTGTGACCGCTCGGCTCGGGCTGCGCCTCGGGTCGTCGTGCCGACAACTCCCCCCGGGCGAGCTCACGCGGGCACCTGCACGCGACGCGCTCCCAGCAGCAGCAGCCCCTCGGCACCACGTGCAGGACGAGCACGACGAAGACGGATCTCGTGCCGAGCTCGCGTCGGGGATGTCCGAATCGTCCCTTGCGAGTCTATGGGCAGTGTTGAGTCTACGGGTAGTGTTGAGTCTATGGTGCAGTGTTGAGTCTATGGTGCAGTGTTGAGTCTATGGGCAGTGTTGAGTCTATGGTGCAGTGCTGAGTCTATGGTGCAGTGTTGAGTCTATGGTGCAGTGTTGAGTCTATGGTACAGTGATGAGTCTATGGGCAGTGCTGAGTGTGGTGCAGTGTTGAGACTTGGGGAAGCAGTGCTGCTCAATGTAGAGGACTTTTTTTTTCTGTGAGTGTGGGTCAGTGATCGAGGAAGTAGGTGAGTGAGTGTGTTAGAGATTGTGGGTGATAGGGTAAGCCATGGGTGACGTGAGTGGGTGTGTTGTTTGGGAGTGAATAGACGAGTGGTTGGGTGAGTGGCTGGGTGAGTGTGTAGGTGAGTGGGTTAGAGATTGATTGGGTG